TAGAAATAGTTATTGTAGTGAATATTGAGTGTTCGAGTAAATTAAGTCATCTAAAAATGTTATAAAACCCATAATATGGTGTTGAAATTTTCACTTTAAATGGGCATGTGTATTTTGAAGAAAATAAGAGAAAAAATAGTCCTTAGTACTTACGCACGTACTTCCATTTTTTGTGTTCTTTGGTCCTTCCTGATGATCCACATCTACATCTGTTATCATTTCCCTGTAGCCTGAAGAGTTTTTTAAAAAGCATTTTTTCAGGTGGAAGTCTGTTGTAATGAACTTATTATTTAAAGTGTTTTTGTTTTAGCTTTTAGTTATTATTTTTAATTTTCACCTTGGGATATATTCATTGCTATTAGAGAGGAGGAAGAAGGGGCAGGGGCAGACACACATATCAGATGCTTGCCTCCTGCATGCACCTGACCAGGATTGACGAACGTGCAACCTAACCAGAAATCGAACCCCCACAGCCTTGTGGTATGGGGCCCTGCTCCAACCGAGCCACCCAGCGAGGGCAGCCTTTATTCTTGCAGCACATAAAATTCTGGTTTGGTATTTTTTTTCCTTCTTTCAGCACTTTATATTATATTCTGGTCCCCACTGTTTCTAGCACAAACTAAGTGGTCATTTGTATCATTTTCCCCCTTTATGTAATTTTCCCTCCCTAGCTCCTGTCAGGATCTTTTTATCTTTGGTTTTCAGCATTTTTATTATGATGTGCGTGGGTATGAGTTATTATTTTTTTTTCCTATTTATCTTGCCTGGGGTTCATTGAGTATCTTGAATCTGTAATTTTTGCTTTCATGAAATTTGGGGAAATTTGTGACCTTTTCTTCAAATAATTTTTCCATCTCATTCTCTCTCCTCTTTTTCTTCAGATTGGAAATCTCCATTGATTTGTCTTCGTATTCTCTGACCCTTTATCTTCAATGTGATGTTAAGTGCATCCAGTGAAATTTTTTTAAAGATAGTTTTTACTTTTAGGACTTCTTTTGGTTCTTTTATAGTTTTGTTTTGCTGATGTTTTGTATTTTTTTAACATGATTTTTTCTTTCATTCATCTTTGTACACAGATGTAGCAGTTGCTTTAATATCTTTGCTAATTCTAACTTGGATTATCTATATTGGGGTTGGTCTTTATTGAATTTTCTTGTTTATACATATGTCTAATAATTTTGTTGTTTTTTTATGTTTAATAATTTTGGGTTGTGTTCCAGGTACATGTTGACATTGAAGATGTTCTAGATTCTGTGTTCTTATGGAGAATATTGACTGTCTTTGTTTTTGTTTTCATGGGACTTAAGCTCTCTGACTTGAAGGTGGTCAGCAGCAAACATTTTGCTTAGTTCTTTTAGCCTTAATTGTGTTGCTTGCAATCTGTTCCATCTGTATAGTTCAGGGATTGTCTAAAAATCCAAGCAGAATTTGATTGCCTCCTTTTTAAGACTTCTCAGTTTCAAGCTGTTCTCCTTGTCCCAAACTCTCTCCTTTGTATCTTCAAGCTTTAAGACTGTGTTTATAGGAATTTAAGTTGTTTTATTTATTTTAAATTACATTTTTATTTTTGTTTATTTTGTCCAGAGTGTATTGTTACCCGTAGGGGGGGTTTGGTCTGGAGGAGCTACTCCTCTAATTACCAGGAACTATCAAATTCATTTAAACTCTTTTGAGAACAGTAATCATATCTTAACTTCTGCTTTTCTTTACAAAATCTTATACATTAAAGATGCCCAGTTAAAGCTTACTGAATTAATGGAAGAATGAATGAAATATTTATTTTGTAAAAACTGTTCATATACCAGCTTTTCTAACAAGATAAAAGAATAGCTGATTTGCTGCCAGCTAACTTTGATGTAGTATCTGTTTAGATCTTTTGCCAATTTTTTAATTGGGTTGTCCTCTTCTTATTTTTAGGAACATTTTTAATATATTCTGGATACAAGTCCTGTATTACATATGTGATTTATGAATATTTTACTCCTGGCCTGTTGTTTTTTTTTTAGAGCATGTTTACATAAGTCAAATTTGTAGATACCAGTTTTTCTTTTATAGACTGCTTTTGATGTGATCTAAAAACAAGTTCACACAGCTTTTCTCTGTTGTTTTTTTTCCTAGAGTTTTATAATGTTAGATGTTACATTTAGGTATATATATAATCTTTTGTGAGTTAATTTTTATATTAAGCTATGAGGTATATGTTTTTACATATAGGTGGGGCAAAAGTAGATTTACAGTTGTGAATATACAAAACAGTTCATTCTTGTGTTATTAATTATTATATTATTTTCCATGCAAACTACTGTAAACCTACTTTTGCCCCATCCTGTATGGACATCCAATTGTTGAAGTACCATTTGATAAAAAAAAAAATGAAGGGCTTTTCTTAATATCTAACTTGAATGCTTTCGTATTAGGTACTGTTGTGTCTAATTCAGTTTTCACAACAATCCATGTAGCAGCTTCTGCAGTCAGGTTCCTGTGAGGAGACTGAGGAAAAACAGTTTAGGTTACTTGTCCAGAATCTAGAAATACTAGCTGCTAGAACTGTAATTTGAAACTGTTACACTTTTCTTGTAAACCACATTTAGGAGTTTGAGCTTTATTTTTAAGTCAAAGATTAATAATGGAGTCACACGATCAGACTAGAGTTCAGGAAGATGACTACATTTTTGGAGATTAGATTGTAGGATGGGAAGAAGGAGAGGATTGCAGTATTTTAGATAAAAGATGATGGTGGTCTGAACCACCAGACACCTGGAAAATGGATAGATTTAACTAAAGTAAGAGGTCAGTGTTAGCGATTGGGTATTGGTGTACAAAAGAATTGTTAGGTGGGGAAGAAAGAAGAATAAGGTTGGAACTTCCTGTGGTATCTCCAGGGATGGGAGGAGGAAGAAGGTAGTTTGAAATTTTGAAGAGGGGAGAGATTTGGTTTATAAATCCAAATATGGGGGTGAAGGGCCCTAAAGCACTTAGAGTGAATGGGATCGCTCAAGGGCAAAGGTTGGAGAGGAGGAGCGTTTCTTGTATAGGATACTAATGGAACACTAGCCTTTATTTGAGAGTTGAGGTGACAAATAGGAGTCTGCGAAGAAGGCTGAGGAGAAGCAACTAGACCCATAAAGTACAAAAGAACTATCAGAAGGGACAGAACAACAGAGAGCAGCACCACAGAAGGGAAGCGTGCTTTGTAATGTCAGGCTGCTGTGGAGGTCTAGAGAGAGGGAGCTGCCCGGGGAAAGTAACAGAATTATATTGCAAGGCCCAGAACTTTGGGGGCTGTGAATCTGTTTCAGACCTAAGTGGTTTTTCCCAGCAGTATTAAACACTAGCGGGCAGAGGGCCTGTGATTCAAGAACATATTGTCACATGAAATACAAAAGGCGATTTAAACTGCTGGTTAGACATGGAAAAATAGAAATATATGCTTTAGTTTTTGTTTGAGAAGGGAAAGGAATATTTTTCGGGAAACCTATTATAATTGCAGCTGATTAATTTATATTTTGCTTTGAGGTAGAACCGAAGCATCACTTAAATAATTTCAATGAAAAATGTTATTGGTATAAGATCTGCAAATAATGAAATGCTGAGAAATTTTGGCAAGTAATTTTGTAATAGGAACTGCAACATTAAAAAAACAAGATAATTGCATTTAGTACTTGACCTTGTTCTATTCTTTACTTCCCATCTATTTTATTTTTTTAGTTAAACATATTTTAATAGCAAATTTACAGGAACAGCACAGAAGACAGGTAACATTAAAAATACATACTTGCATGTAGTATGTATAGCTCAGCAAAGTATAGTGAGTAGATGGAATCTACTATATGGTAAAAGTGCTAGAAACACCCTTTTGTAGTTGCCATCAATAAGACATTTACTTTTTTGTTTTTTTTATCCAAATTTGGCATTGTCCAGAAACATTTAACAGGTTTATTTATGTTGTCATAAAGTTGAACTGCTGAATCTTGTTCACTGAAACATTTTGACGTGCATTAATGTTTTATGTTTTTGTGTTTGTATTTTAAAAATTTAAACACAAGTGAAAATGGAAAAACTGCCCAATTTCTGTTCCCTATTTCTTCAACCTGCAATGATGTACTTAGGTACCTTTTTTTACCCCATAGGGAAAAAATATACCTAATGTTCAGAACTACCAAGAACAGGAAGAAGAGAACATTAATTTTTTTTTAAGAATGGAATGTTTCCTATTGTGTAATGGATTCTCAAGCATGTTCTCCACATATATGATGTAGTAGCTGGATATCTTTTGGCATAATTGTTACATGTTTGGTGAGGACAGCACACAGGTTGTTGTCTTCAAAGGGCCAACCAGATAGGCCTTACTTGTCTCCTGCAAAGTACCAGTTGCTACTCTCTGGAGGTGCAGATCTATCTGAAGTCAAGGGCAATTTCTCACACCAGACTCTGGAAGGGAAGTTTGCAAATCAGGAGTTCAGCGGACTTCTGATAATGTCTCGTTTCACAAAGTGCCATAGTACCAGGCCTGTATGGTGAGGTTTTCTCACCCCTCCCGTTAAGAGGACACACACTTGCAGGCGACTTTGGTAGCCAGTTGCTTCCTCAGTACTTCACCACCAGTCGATTTGCAATTTGCAGGCAGTCTCCTCTGTATGAGCCATGGTACAGTGACCTCTTTACTTACTCCCCCCCCCCCCCCCCCCGCCTTCTCCTTCGGCTGGAGCCCAGTGAGCACTGGCAACTGCAGACATAACCTATTATTTTGCTCAAGAAACTAGTAGGGTTTCTTTTGGCATGCAGAGTAACCCAAGAACCCTTCCCCAGGTTTTCCTACAAATTTCAGTGCAGATTGCTGTCATGTGCTCTATTTAGGAAAACCTGTCTCCATAGAGAAATCTATTCTTGCCCATTTAGTTCACGCTAAACTAATATCAGCAGTAGTTTTAATATATCAGAATAGTTGACACAGTCTATTTACATTTTTCTTTCTACTAATTTTTGTTTTTATTCAACAGGTTTGATCTGTGGATGAAATGAATCATGATTTTCAAGCTCTTGCATTAGAATCTCGGGGAATGGGAGAGGTAAATATTTATGAATGCTAAGAATGTGTACCTCACATTGATTATTTGAGCCATTGAGACTTTTTAAACCATAAATCTTGAAAATAGTGGTTAATGGTGCAGGTTTTTTAAATCTCAGATTATACAGTTATGTAGTGTGATTCTCAGTTCTTTTTGTGAGATTGGTTGATTTGATTGACCTGGTTAAATGATGTATTATATTTTGGTAATGAATCACAAATACTTTGCTCAGAAAAGAGCCTTCTTTATTCTTGTCCTTCTGTTTTATATATGTATGCTGTTTGCTTTAGCCATACTGTTGACTATTCTCTCTTCCAAAAATTTCTCCTTGTTGGCTGTTTGCTTAAAAAACTTCTAAGCCTCTACAAGACTACTGAAAAAGATGCTTATCTATTGTCCCATTGCATCTGCAATGGAATTATACTTCCTCATCTGACTTCTTATAGATCTTTATATATACTTTGTTATATTACTGGTTAAAGTTTATTGTTTTGTATTAGTTTCTTTAGTAGCTTGATAGCTTCAAATGACTAGCACACAGTGGGCACTCTAAATGCTTTTTATCAGTCCTTTTAATCTATGACTCATGGGGGCATCCCATTTAACTTTATCATTAAGTAATGTAAGACATCAAAAATACTTAGTTTTCCATATACCTAGTAAATGTTTAGAAAATTTTAATTGATGATGAAAATCCTTGTGGTCACATCTTTATTTTGTCATGTTCTATAGTACTAATATAGTGTGGACTTTGATAATAGAAGATAATGGTGAACAGACCTAAGATGTGTAATTAATTGCTTGCTCCTGGAGATTATTTTACCTTGGTAGATTAGAGACCTTCCTGAGACTCACTCCGTCCAATGCTGTGCTCTTCAGATGCAGAAAAAGAGTCTAGTCACTCCTCTGGACCACAAGAGGGCACCCTGCAGCTAGCTAACCCTCCCCTTCTCCAGAACAGCGTTTTCCAAAGAGTTTGTCATTTTCAGAGGACTGATTTAAGGGTGAGTTAAGGTGCTTAAGCATAAGTATTGCCAAAGTAAGCTTGTTAGTTTAGTGCATAATGTAAAACTCTGGGCCTTACAAAAAAATTGAGAGAGGGAGTAATTTTTTAGTTATAACTACAGGTTCACTGTGACGCAGTGGAGGCTGCTTAGGCATTATTCACCCTATGGGTGAACAAAAAGAAGCAGTCAGAAAGGGCTTTTGGTTGTTTCCCTTTTGCTCATTTTCTTTGGTCTTTAGAAAACAGAATAACATACCTTAAAAACAGATTTGAATAATATTTCAGCTTAGTCTGTGAAAACTTGAATTTAATGACTTTTTTAAGAGCAGGTAAAGTTCACACACCCTTACTGTAATTCTATTTAGGCACCTCCACCCCCCAGCATTTTACTTCCCAAGTCTCTATTGTATAGATATTTACAAATTGGCTTTTTTCTTCTTCCATTTCTTAGTATTTGTAAATCCAAAGACACCTCTGCAGTTCAAAAAAAAAAATCATCATCAGAATAGTAGTAAAAGGAATTCAGTTAGCTGTTTGGGCATGAAGGAGGGATATTTGAGGTTTTTGAAAAAGACAAGCTGGGGGTAAATAGCATGTAATACTATGTTAAATGACCTAAGTTTAAATCTAGGCTTTCTCAATGGGAATGTCAAATGCAGAGTTAAAATGACTAGGTTTAGCATGTCTGCTTTTTTGGCGGATAGCAGCAGGTCAGTGCTTCTGTGACCATCATGTAGTAAAAATGTATTTTTAAATAAGCTGTTATTCACTAATTAAGTTTTTTTCTTAACAGTTTACCAACTAATTCTGTTACCTCTAAGAGATAGCTAAGGAACCTGCTCAGGTTTCTGCATCTGGGTTCTCTCTCCCACAAGCCTTTCTATCTTTCCTCATCTCACAGGCAGCAGGGAACCTTCTGGGATTTCCTTCTTTGCCTGTCTCTCTCTCACCAGTCTTCTCCTCCTTTCCTGACAGGTGAGGTTTTTTTGTTTTGTTTTATCCCAGAATTCATTCATTTTAATAAATTAAAGCAGCCTTGAGTTTCTGGTTTTTTGGGTTTTCTGAAATTGCTTGTGTATTTTTTTTAATGTAACATCCTTTTTTAATGGATTGGCCTATTCTTGAACTTTTCTTTAAAAAATAAAGTCGTTCTTATTATGTCTTAAGTTGCTGTAAATCTCTAATGTACGAAGCACTGCATTACATATAGACCAATTTTCAGATATACTGGTTTTCGTAGGTCATGCCCATCATCAGAAAGAAGGACAGTCTCTTCTAGTTCATTCGGAAATAGAAACAGATTTGTATTCACCCATTCATAAACTCATTCTTTCCATTTTTTCCATGACATGCTTTAATCAAAAAACCTACTCATTTGCTTTAAGTCATGTGGTTTAAAAAGAGTAAAGCTAATCTATATAGTGTTTTTAGATTATACTGCAGAGGCACATAGCTATTACTTTCATATACACACACACACATTATATATATACTAAGTTCCTGTTTATTTTTTAAATAAGGGGAAAGAGGCCTGTACTTGAAATTCTTTAGGGAACCCAGAATTTAAATCACTGAGTTAGTGTATTTTATTATGGGAGCATTTTTTGTAGCTTAGTATTATAATGTTGCTCCTTTGTTTTCTGAAACAATATTTTTTAAAGATTTTAATTATTTATTTTTAGAGAGAGGGGAAGGGGAAGAGAAACATGTATGAGAGAAACATCAGTCAGTTGCCTCTCACACACCCCCAACTGGGGAACCTGGCCCACAACCCAGATACGTGCCCTGACTGGGAATTAAACCTGTGACCTTCCCGTTCACAGGCTGGCACTCAGTCCGCTGAGCCACACCAGCCAGGGTGATACATAACTTTTTAAAATGGCATAGTTAATAACAACACCTCCCTACTGCCCTGGCCTGTATGACTCAATCCATTAGAGCAGTGGCCATAAACTGAAAGGTCATGGGCCACATGCCTTGGTTGGGGTTCATTTTGCAGTCAGGGCATGTGCAGAGGCAACCAATTGATGTTTCCCTCTCTCTCCCTTCCTCCCTTCACCTCTCTCTAAAGTCAATAAGCATGTACTCAAGTGAGGATTTCTTTTTTAAATCACCTGTCTCAAAACTGTCCTAGATTGCATGTTTTATGAGCACCTTCATTTAAAACACGTAATGTAGACATAAACATTTAAGTCCTATAATCCTTATAATCATGTTAATTTGGTTGGTCTGTTCATTTTATATAACAAATTGTAGTAGAAAAATCTGATGTTTGAGTGTACCTCATAGTATAGACTCTAGCAGGAATGTATTTATTTTGAAAAAGTATACTGGGGTTTTTTGACTGATTCTTTGGAGATGGAGAGGGCAAGCTTCTTGAAGAAAAGAACTGATAAAATGATGGATCACGGGGGAATGAATTTGTATGCCACCCTGTCATTCCTGAGTTGAAAGCACAGAGGAGTGGGTTGACAAAAAATAATGAGTTCTCTGACTTTGGTTTAGAGTTTTTGTGAATTATGGAACTAGTACAAAGTAGTATGGGATAATGTATTTTACAGATCTTCAAGATCTCTTACTCCTTGTTTTCTGTAATGTAGTTCCCCATTTCTACTACAGTAAAACAGTCTCCAGGGGCAAATATCTATTTTTATTGCAGTTCAATCAGTGTACCATTTAATCTTTTTAAACTGTTTTATCCTGAATAGTTCCCTTTCTCTATACTGAGTCCTTTTAACTTATTCTTGGTCATCAGCTAGTAGTTTCTCTAAAAGTGTTTGAAGTCAGTGTCTAAATTGTCATAGAAAGCTATTTCTAGAATGTTGGTAATGCCTTTCCTAGAAGTATTAATTTTATTAACTACTAAATTATTTTGCTATGTGTGATAACTGAGAAATATTTGCAAAACCAAGAGCTGTTCATAGCAGTGTTTGGCAATGAGGGGACACACCAGGTTGGTACTCGATGTAGATTTTTCCCGTGGCTGTGCAGTTTGTGTTTTAAAGCATTGTTCCATGACTGAGGTACTCCTCGGAACCTTATTCCAAAGGACTTTGATAGTCTTCTTAAAGAGATTTTACAGTACCTAACACCTCACAAGATTAATTTGTTTTAGCCACTTCTGTGCTGTGGTAAATGCTTCTGTGAAATTGTTACTACTATATTTTTTATTCCTTACATTCTTACTGATACCGTAACATTTTTCTTCATGAAGTGTGGGATAAAAGCATTTCTTTATTGTCTATTTGCCATTTTCCTCTTCTCGAAATAGTTTATACAGTATTTTTATGGGATTAACTTGGGTTTTACTATGAATAAATGTTCAATCATTAAAATATATTTAAGTACAGTGTTTTAGTATTACTGGCTTTGTTTTTGTTTCCATATTTGCATGAAACTTATTGTGAGAATTTTAAAAATCGAAGGAACAGAGACATTTTACTGAGATCCTTGTTAGAGGAGATTATTGTTTAAAAATGTCTAAACTTTAAATACATACTATTTATAACCCAGGAAGATCTGAATATGGAAAAACTTTTTTAAAAATAGCAGAAGTTAGTTACCTTTAAAAATGAAAATTTAAAAAGATCTGTAGATTAGAAACATGCCCAAATTGAACTTTTCCCATTCTCTTCAAAGCAACTTCTATTTTGTTGTTGTTTGGGGGTTAATAGTTCCCACTATTCACCTTGTTACTGAAATTTTTGAAGTTTTATCCTTTTTATCACACCCCTCCCCCAATTACATTCATATTTTATAGACTCTTCTAAATGTTTCTCTCTCTCTTTTTTAAGATTTTATTTATCTGTTTTTACAGAGAGAGGAAGGGAGGGAGAAAGAGAGGGATAGAAATATCAATGTGTGGTTGCCTTTCATGCCCCCTGCAACCCAGGCATGTGCCCTGACTGGGAATCAAACCAGCAACCCTTTGCTTAACAGGCTGGTGCTCAATCCACTGAGCTACACCAGCCAGGGCTAAATGTTTCTCAAATACATTTTATTTTCTTGGTTCTATTTGAGAGTACAATTTCAGTTCTTGTCATCTTTGCCCTATTATATTGTGTCTTCCTGTACTGATGCTCTTGCCTCTGGTATATACATTATTCTTAAAACTTATATCTTGAGTTATTTTCTGGAGCACATTGTCACTCTTGCCAACCTCCCTTGATTTTCTTTGACTTCAGTGTAATGTGCAATTTCTTTAGCATGCCTTCAAGGTGACCTAGATGGTGCCACCAGCATCAACTTTGACTTTCCTGCATCTATTCCTCTGTCTTACACCCTGTTCCACACACACTATTCATTTTCTCAAGGTGTGCATTTGTTTATGATTTACTTTGTCTTCCTCACCTACCACTCATTCTTTGAACCCCCAGCACACGTAATCTTATCTCTCAGACCAAATTCAACTGTTTACTATAGTTAATTTATATGTTTCTGCATTCTTTGAAGAGAACGTCTCCATGCCCATAAGGAGGGAAACACAGATAATTTAGCGTGTAGTAATAGACGTATATACAGGCTTAGTCAAGAATATTGAAAGACTGGGCTGGGAAGGATGGGAGTCTGACAGATGCTTATTTAAAATGTCAAATGCATGTATCAGAAAACCATCTGTTCTTTTTCAAATAAACATATCCCCAAGGTACCTCATGATTGTCAGGGAAGGTAAAGAGGAAAGACCTGGATGAATATTAGAAGTATCATTTGAAATTGGCCAAATGTATATTTTGAGTAGTCAATGAATGGTGTTATCAACACAACTTTTATGTTGATATGTATATGTGCAATATAGAGTAAATAGAGCACAGAGCTTTGAGATTCTTATCTCTAGTATCTGAGGATCTTTTCTTTATATCTTTTCTACTATCTATAGCTACCTGGTTTGGATTCGATAGGTTATTAGTATTCAGGACCTAGGAAGAGTAGTGAAGTTCACTGCCATTGATCAAGTGAGATAAGAATGAAAATATATTTTCTGTCGGGAAGCTGTGGGATAGGAGATGATCCAAGAACAGTATTTGGAAGTAAAGGAAAATTTTTATCATTATATAAATATTTTTGTTGTATTTGTATTGACTTAGAAATTTAGTAAGTCTTTTGAAAATTTTATAAAGAAAATCAGTGGCATTCAACCAGTATGTATTTTGAAAAATGTTGAATATCAGAAAAAAATTGATGTTGATTTGATTTAATGTTCAGATCTAGGATTATTAGAGCCAGTAAGTAGGAAGTTATTTTCTTATTGACACAAATTAGGTATTAGGTTACTCCAAATTTTTATTAGCATTGAAACTAACTTGAACATATTGGTGGTAAGTTTGCTTTTCTCAGTATATTAGTTCTTTGTAATTAGAATAAAATTTAAATGTAATATTTTTCTCCTCCCAAATAGCTTTTGCCTACCAAAAAGTTTTGGGAACCTGATGATTCAACAAAAGATGGACAAAAAGGCATATTTCTTGGGGATGATGAATGGAGAGAGACTGCTTGGGGAACTTCTCGTAAGTTTTTGGTGTATGTGTGAGAATTGTGAATGTATTAAAACCCCTGCATACTCCCAGACAATAGTTAGAAAAATTTCGATTAGAAGTACTTGTCACAATAAGATTTTATTAAGTTTTTATTTGAAGTGAAAACTGATTAGAAAATTCTGAATTTCCATTAAAAAAGAGAACACATTAACCATAGAAATTTTAAATTTAAATTGTTACAGGACAGTGACTGACTTACCTAGTTGTAGTTCAGTCTAGGTTCATTAGGCATGAGCCACACCCAGAAAGGACATAAACGTCCTCACTGAAGTTGAATCCCCAGAAAAGGGAGCAGACTTCGAATACTTTGGTATCGGTGAGTAGTAGAAAGAGACTTAGGTGAAAGAAACTTTTAAGAGGAAAGGAACTGGTATGTAAAAAGTGTAATTCACAGGAGTGACAATATTTATTGATAAGTTAAAGAGCATATTTATATTCTTAAAATAATACTGATTATACTTTTAAATGTTTCTGATCAGGGAAATTTGAGAGAGATACGCATGAAACTATCAACACGTATTTTACCGATAACTTTTCTCTTTTTATAACTGAGTTTTTAATGCAGCTTGTCGCTAAAGCTATAGAAAACAACCAAAGTAACATAAAAACAAATTTGTGGTTGATAATTATCAAATCAACTATACATTGTGAGTATAAATAACCAGGTGGTTCCTTATTCTCTAAATCATTAGGATACATTAAAAGATTTGAATGTCCTTTGTACTTTTAAAGGAAACTAAAATATTGCCCAAAAGTTAGGAAATGCTAGAAAATATTAGCCATTAATGCTGTATTTTTTTTGTTCTTATCCCTTTTTTTAATCCTCACCCGAGGACATGCTTATTGATTTGAGAGAGAGGGAAAGAAACATTAATGCAAGAGAGAAACATGAATTACTGTATTTTGCTGTATATAATGCATTCCCATGTATAATGCGCACCCATGTTTTTGCCCCAAACTTTTAGGGGGGAAAATGTTTTTTTTTTTTTTCAATTCCGTTTTTTATTTATTTGTATTAAGATACTTGTTTTTATGTATTCTAATGGAATCTTAGCATTTATTTTTGAACATATTATGGTATAAGAAATTTTATATAACATAATTACAAAACACAAGAACAGATAGATACAGGGTATTTTAGGTACTACCCTTGTATAATGCACATCCTTATTTTTCTCACAAGAATTTGGGCAAAAAAAAAGTACACATTGTACACAACAAAATATGGTGGTTGTCTCTGGTACAAGCCCCAGTCGGGATGAGCTCACAGCCTAGGCATGTGTCCTGACTAGGAATCAAACTGCGACCTTTCAGTTGACAGGACAGCACTCCAACCAACTGAGCCACACCGACCTGGGGCTCTTTGGTGGTGGTGGTGGTTTGCATTTTAGTTTCAGGTGTTACAGCATTGTGGCTAGACAGTCATGCACTTTTACTTTACAAAGTGGTGCCCCCAATATTTCAGTACTATTGACTGTATTCCCTGTGCTGGAGTCTAATCCCAGGACCATTTGTGACTGTCAGTTTGTAGTTCTTTGTCCCTTTACCTTTTTCAGCCAGCTCCTCAGTCCCCTCCTCCCTGGCAACCATGAGTGTGTTCTCAGGCAATTAATACTCTTCACATTTAAAACCCAACAAGATTGAAAGCTTTGGTAACCACTAATTTAGACTAAAATTTCCTTAAAATAATGGGAGTTTTCTTTGAGTTCAACCAATATGGTGATATATTCTGAAATAGAAATAAATGAGATAGGATCTTTGCCCACAGGGAATTTTTTCTGGATTTTAATTATCATGTATTAGATTGAACTTTTTATTTAGAATTTTCAGTTATTTAGATCAAGATACATTTTCCTAAAAAAGGCACTTATTTTGCTTGTAAACAAAGTCACATGCTTGAAAATTTGGTAGATAGACGTGTTTTGATTTTTGTGTTGGGGGTTTAATGATTACTTCACTTACTAGAATTAACTTTTAAATCATTCTAGAGCAGAACATCTTGAGCACAACATATATTCCCTGTGATTTCTTTTTAATGTCAAATTTATAATTTTACTTAATTCCTTAACCGACTCTCTCCCTCAACTTTTTTTGTTGTATGGATAAAAGTTAGAAGTGAATATTAGCTTTTACTAGGAGACATGAGAAATGAATTACTTTATTTACTGAACATTGATTGCCAAGCATGTACAAATATGCGTAACACATTCCTGTTTTAAAGGAATCGTTGTTCTAAGATTTCTTTCCATTACTACAGGAAACTAATCATATACATATTTTCTTTCTCAGCCAAACTGAACTACTTGTGATTGTTAATTTCATTTTCTTCTGGCACCTCCAGGTCTTTGAACATGCTTGTTTCTTACTGAAATGCTCTTTGCACCCTCAGCTTCACCAGTTTTGGTTTTGTTTTTGTTTTTTTTTTCCCACTTAACTCTTGACCTTTTCTTTGGGATTCACTCTTAAAACTGGGAGGGATTGATACCCCTTTATTCTGTTCTTTTTTAAAAAATAATCTTCATTGGAGAACATGCTTATTCGTTTTAGAGAGAGAGAAATAATGGATCAGTTGCTTCTCGTGTGCTCCCAAACCAGTCAGACTGGCAACCTAGGCATGGGTCCTGACCCAGAATCCAGCTTATGACCTTAGGGTTTACGGGAGCTCCAGCCGACTGAGCCACACTGGCCAGGGCTGTTTTATTCTTAAAATACATTGGACTGTTTTTATTGAAGCGCTTTTACTCTATTATGACTCCCTTCTATTAAACCTATAGTCTTTTGAGGGCAGGGACTGTCTTCATATTCTTGCATATTAGAGACAGTAAATCAGTATTTGAACTGGGTGAATAAGTAGGTGAATGAGCAAATAAAAAATAATGACTATTCTCTCATGCATAAAGATACTGAAATAGGAATGTTTTACTATGGTTTAATGAAAGTAGCAATCATTTTAAAGCTATTATAGTTAATAAAATGATAGTAACTGTATGATGGATATAGTTCAGGCCTTTGAGGACTAGATCTAATATTGGGTATTGAACATGTTCACAAAAAAGTCAGAAGTAGCAGACAGCCTGTTGGTTCCTTAAAAAAAAAAAACCTTTTTATTGGCAAATCTGTATGACTGTTGCCTCAAATGTTTTATTATATTTATATTACATTTACTCTCAGATCTTAAATACTGCCTTTTCTTCTGTCACAGAACTGTATAGAAAAGGTACTTGTACCAGATGAATAATTTTTTGTTGAACAAAAATAAATGGAGGACTTGTAAGCTACAATGCAAGGGATATTTTCAAATATTCTTTAGGTGATACTCAGTTTTTACACCAAGAATAGAAAATTCTATGTTGTAACTAGTTTTTTTCAAACTCAATGTTTGCGTTTATAGCAGGAGAGCGTGTGTGCTGCATCTGTCAGGACACAGCTGTGAGCTTGAGAAGCGCTTCCGCCAATTTAGGAGGAGGTGCTTCATTCTGGAATTCATCTCTGAAGGTTTTTATTTTGAAATGTCAGGAATCACCAAAAGAACTTATTTTTCAGTTATAGTTGACATACAATATAATATTCGACATTTGTATAACTTACAAAGTGATCACTCCAATGAACCATTACCCACCTGACACCATATGTACTTACTACATTATTATTGACTGTATTCCCCATGCTGTATTTTACATCCCCATGGCTTTTACAACTGGCAATTTGTACGTCTTAATCTTTATACCCTTTCCACCCATTCCACCTGGCCCCCTCCGTCTGGCAACCATCAGTTTGAAGAATGTTAATTTTTTTTTAAATCTTCACAGAAAGACATGTTTATTAATCTTTAGAAAGAGAGGAAGGGAGGGAGAGAGAGAAACATCCATGTGAGAGAGAAACATTGATCAGTTGCCTCCTGTACGCACCCTGACCTGGGCTCTAACTGGCAACTTAGGTGTGTGCTCTGACCCCAGGCATTGAACCTGCAACCTTTTGGTGTACAGGAGGAAGCTTCGATCATCCAGGTCACCCGACCAGGGCTGAAAAACCTTTGTTTTTTAAATAAGATATTTGTGGGTAACTGAGCTTTCAAATTAATGTTTCTTCATTGACCTTTTTGGTTGACTTTTTTTTTTTTAACCAGGCTTTTACCTGTTCTTTACCAGATGGCTCTTTATGTATGGCTTATCAAGACATGTACCCAGGCCAGTGAATCTCAACAGAATAAAGTGCTTTTTATAAAGTCTATAATAACATTAAAAATAAAACAGTATACTTATTTTCTTACTTTAGTATATTAATTTGTGTAAGTGACATTTGGTTAAAAGTACAAATATGTAATTACATTCTTTCTTCCAAACAGACCATTCGATGTCCCAGCCTATTATGGTACAGAGAAGATCTGGACAGGGTTTTCATGGAAACAGTGAAGTAAATGCAATACTGTCTCCGCGGTCAGAAAGTGGAGGCCTTGGCGTGAGCATGGTAGAATATGTGCTGAGTTCTTCTCCTGCCGATAAATTGGATTCTCGATTTAGGAAGGGAACTTTTGTAAGTATTTTGAATACAGAAATGTTTAGTAATTGCTCAGTGGTTATTTGGTGATCTTTAAATCAGTTTATTTTTCTGGCCCTTCTTGAGCTAAAGGAAATTGTGTAGCTGATAGTGCTCTTATTGTCTTCTCTTGGCCACTTCTTGAAATATGTGGAACAGTAGAACCACTGGAAATATGCATATTCTTAACCATGTTACAAAAATTGAACTATACTAATTACGGTACATAATTTGCAGGATTAAAATTGCTTATTTGTGATGGGGCTTAATCTGAAAGTAACTAAACAAAACCATACATGCATTAAATAGCATTTTAATCTCATTTGTGGTGTTAATTGCTTTTCCTGCACCGCTATAGTTAAGGTTGCCTTAGCCCTTCTGTTATAAATCATTGGTTTGTAGTCAAATTTTGGCCTTTGATAAATTAGTTGACTACAAAATTAAAGTAAGGTTCAATGCTTTTATTGTTTACATGCACCATAGTGTAGTTTTAGGTCACCTTATGGTGCCTTTTTTGGTGTGTTCTGTTACATACTCAGAATCAAACAGATTCTTTTTCCTCAGGGCACTAGAGATGCTGAAACAGATGGACCTGAGAAAGGAGATCAAAAAGGCAAGGCTTCTCCATTTGAGGAGGACCAAAACAGAGATCTTAAACAAGGAGATGATGATGATTCTAAAATAAATGGCAGAGGTTTGCCAAATGGAATGGATGCCGATTGCAAAGATTTTAAGTAAGATTTTAACTTTCTCAAGAAGAAAAGCATATTTCTTTAGGAATTATTGCTATTAGTTGATGTGACTGATGTAGACATTTTTTCAGTTTTGGTTTATTTCCCTTGGTACCTTGTGTTAATTTGGAGAAAGATTACTTTTTATATGAAATATTACTTAATGATTATGAGCCATTGTTTTTAAAAAATAATTCTTCAAAACATTCTCTCAAATAATGCATTGCATTGAAGGAGTAATGTTAGAAGCTGCTGTTACCTTCCTGCTAATATGGTAGTCTCGATTTTAACTTTTTCTTCCCTGCTAAAATCTAGTGAACCTTAAGAGTGGTTTTCCCTGGAAGACTTCTTGGGATTGCTCTTGAGCACCTTTCTGTGGAGTTTCCTCTTTTTATCCCTGTATTGTATCTCCTAACCCCCATTTAACTCTTAATCTTAGGAATGAGGAAACAATTAATTTGCTTTTAGGATTTTAGGATATATGAGTTTTTGCTGATACTTAACATTCTTGAAATTGGGAGGTGGGAAACGTATTAGAGACTTCAAACTTTTAGATTTAACCTCAGAATTATGCAAGTTGTAGCTTTTTAGTTGCCTCTTTATGGTATTTTCTTCTAGCCTTTGGTCTTAGATTAAGCAGTGCACCTCTGTCTAAATATTATGGAGTTGTTTCTTCATACTGATTTCCTGTACTTTATAGTTCAGCAGTCAGATGCTTTGGAACCTGTACCTCAAAATGAGCCATTTCTTGGGGATTTTGTGAACCATGGAATCTGTTAACTCAATATAGGTACCTAATGGGTGATACGCTTTTATATGCATTGCCTTTAATTACCAAAAGCAGAGTAACAGTGGCTCTTAAAAAGTGTCGTTCATATTTTTTCTAAGTGCACAAAAGCATCCCAAACCAGTAAACCTCTTTTGACAAGAAAGAAAATTAACGCTAGTGAATTTGTTTTAGAACCTTATCTTGATTTTGCCCTTCTGCTGTTACCTAATCTAAGTTTTGGTTAAGGGCGGGCTTTTAAAGCTGAGTTGATTGTAGACCCTTCAGAGTATCCATTTATAATTGAAGTGTTAATCCACCATTAACTATAGCAAGAAAAGAGCACCACTGGTAGCATAGTGACTTTCGTGTTGGATCCTCTACTTTTTGCTACATTAGAGTTGTTTTGTACAGAAGGCTATACTTTCTCATATTAATATGAACTTTACATTATTAGCATTTTAATTTTATTCTATTAAGTTTGGAGTATATATTTAAATGGTTTATGAATTATTTTTGATACACAATTGTATTTGACAGTGTAAAACATTTTGAACTAATAGCTATGGCCATATGGTCACTATGCTGCATATTGTTAACATGTATATTAACTCATCAATCATCAATATATACATTAGAGGAGTCGAACTGAAAGGAATGAAATAACTATAGCAGGCTGTCTTTTTTTTTTTTTTTTTTTTTAATTGGCTGGTTTTAAAGAACATTCTTTCCATTTAATTTTCCCCCATATATTCTGAGTGATAAACCTTTGGAATATTCACATGGAAAATTAGTTATGGTTGAAAAGGAAAGGAGTTTGAAATTTATTCTAATGGATGTACAGTGGTTGATTTTTAAATAAAATGTGTGAATTCACCTAAGTATCTTTGAAATAACTCTTATAATTCCATAGTCAAATGTTCTGTGTTAGAAAATTTATCCCAATATAAAGTACCTGAAGGTGGGGGCAGAGCTACATAGGTGTAACAAGCGGCATTGAAAGCCAGAGAAAACAGCTATTGCCATTTATTTAATGAACTTACATGTGAACATACTGTGAACTCATGGTTCCTCAAAATAAAACTTAATCTTGTGAGGGAAGGATCTTATATAAAATATTTCTGTAGAAGAAAACAGTATAAATGAGAATTATGTCTAGAAATAAGGTAAAAATAAAGTTTAGGCCACAAGGGATTTTTTTTTTAGGAGTCATTGCTTAATATTTAGTCTAGTGGTAATTCTTTTTTTCTTTTTTGAAAATTATAAGGAGGCTAGTCAGTAGATATATATTTTAATAAATATTATAATTTTCATTTCTTATTTGATTAAATTAGAACAGGGTAGTGTTACAAAGATGACAATATCATACAGGGTTTTCACACACAGGTTGTTTTCATTGTTGTTGTCCCTGTTATTTGGAACCACGATGTCATCTCTTTAGTCTCTTCAGTAAGGAAACTGAAGCCTGGATGATGAAATGATTTGCTCAGAATCATCCTCAGAGTTAAGAGTCCCCCTTGGTCTTAGTTCAATTCCCTTTTTCTGTTGTGTTCTACGTCCTGTGCCCTGAAGTCATGAAGGCCATGGGATCCTCTGCAGCCAGTTTGTTTCTGAAATGTTATTAACGAGATATTACGGCAAAATTACGTGCTGCTGGTGGTGGGCAGGACAGGAGTGGGTGGATCAGACTTTCCCTGGTCTGTCAGTTTTTGCTGTTCGTACCTACTGTTCATTTTGTCTGTGGTTTGAGAAAAACAGTTTTTAGGTAGTCTGGGCTCTTAAGTTGTGGTATTGGCTAATTTCCATACCTGTAAAATTAAGTTACATCTTTATGCCATTCAAATTGGGGTAATATTCATTAATAATTTTTAAAAATGAAACCATGTTAATTCTTGAGAAGAATTTATATTAGACACAAAACAATACTGTGAAGGGAAATGGTTATGCCTAATTTGCTCTGTCTTCTATAGCCATCTGTTGTTTCTGATCTTCCTCATTTCTCCTTTCAACACGTGACTCGTTTTACTTATAATACCTTTCTGTTTTCTTTATACAGTCGTACTCCAGGAAGTCGTCAAGCCTCTCCAACTGAAGTAGTTGAACGCCTGGGCCCCAGTACTAATCCCCCAGAAGGACTGGGGCCTCTTCCTAATCCTGCAGTTAATAAACCACTTGTTGAAGAATTTTCAAATCCTGAAACTCAGAATCTGGATGCCATGGAACAAGTTGGTCTGGATTCCTTACAGTTTGACTATCCTGGTAATCAGGTACCAATGGACTCTTCTGGAGCTACTGTAGGCCTTTTTGACTACAATTCCCAGCAGCAGGTAAAGCAGGCCCCTCCTTTAAAGAAGCTCCTCTTAACTGTAGTGGTGTAGCCTGGAGTTCTGTGAGGCATCGATAGGAGTGTTTTTGAACACCTAGTGTTTTATTAAGTAAAATGTTCTTGTAGTTGAGAAGGTGATTCAAATAAGGTTTAAAATATTCTATTTCCAGTTTTCTAAATATTTCTAAAATAGAATATTTTTGTAATACTTTGGCACTAATGTTTGTATTAAATATTTTCCCCAATAGCTCTTTCAAAGGACTAATGCACTAACAGTTCAGCAGTTAACTGCAGCCCAACAGCAGCAGTATGCATTAGCCGCGGCTCAGCAGCCACACATAGGTGAGTCTTTATGAGTTAGCATTTCGATTACCCCAAGAGAAAATTCTGTGTTAACCTGTTTAGGTGTTTTGTTTTTCTTTTACCGAATGGTGTTGTTTCATTACTTTTTGAAACATCTCATCAAGATCAAAGATGAATAGATTATATGACAGGAGTAAAGATTTAGTAGAGAAGAACTGTTTCTGATTATTACTTGTGTAATGATCTGACTCAGTGAAAGCTGTCAGCACGTAAGTTTTTTTTTCATGATGTGAAGTTGAGTCAAACACTTGAAAATTAAAATGTAGTTATGTGTGTCCATTATCAAATCAGAATATTTATTTTCGAAATGGTTTAAAAATAGAAATCCCAAGGAAATGTTAAAAAATTTTTTTTTGTTCATTAAGGTTTTTGACCTTTAGTCTTTAATGTGAATTATTACAAGGACACATTTGTGACCTGCTAGAGGTCAAGTATGTGTTGTCTATGTTGGGGTTTTTAAGTTGCAAAGAGAACAAAGGTTCCGCAGCTATACCTTACACAGTTGTAGTTCTGTATCAGAACCAGGAATGTGACATTGATAAATGTGCTTGTATAGTTTTACATCATTTTATCACATGTGTAGGTTCACGTGACCACTTTTCTGCCCATCCGATTTTGGCTAACCTTGATTTATTTCCTAGTTCAAAAAGTGTGATACTCTGACATCAGATCTCTGGAAGGGGTGGGGGGCGGATATGCTATGTTGGTTCTTTTCCATTAACTTTGTATTGTTCTCCACTAGGCTTCCTAGGACCCAAATTTTATTTTTGGTTTTAATCAAAGATAACCACACGTTTCTAGATGACTTCTGCTAGCAGCATGTGTGCTGGGCCTGCTACTTTTCTCTTTCCCCTCAGCCTCCTTTATCCCTGTACTTAGCCCTTCCCTCTCCTTCTTAGAAATGTGCTGATTTTCGTCTGTTCGTGGGCCAGTGCACTTTCTATTTCTGGAGGCTTTGTGGTATGTTTTAATATGTGGCAGGCTAGAACAGTCATTACTGTTCTTACTCTTGGGAGTTTTAAATTTTTTGTTTGTTCTTATGAGCTTTAAGTTCACTTATTTTACTTCCAGAAGATCAGGTTAAAAATTCTGTTTTATATTTTTTAAGATTTTATTTATTTTTGGGGGCGGGGGGGAAGGGAGAGAAATATCCATGTGCAAGAGAAACATAGGTTGCTTTTCCCATGTGGATATGGCCTACAACCTAGGCAGGTGCCCTGTCTGGGAATTGAACCTGAGATCTTTTGGTTTGCAGACAATACCCAGCTCACTGAGCCACACAATTCAGGGCTCAGGTTAAAATTGTAAATTAACTTAGGGCAAAATCAACATCTTTATGACATTAAATATTCTTATCCAGGACATGTATACATTTACATTTGTCCACGTCTGCTGTGTTATTTATGCATGCTTTAAATTTTTTCTCATGTACATTTGCCTGTTGATAAGTTCTTACATGTTTTATCTTTTGCTGTCATTTTAAATGGCCTTCTATTTTTTATTATATCTTCAAATAGGTATCTGTGAAACCACTGAATTTGCGTATATTTAATTTTATGAATGATATTTTCTAATTGAATTATTCTTGCGTAAAACTTCATTTTACTTCTCTTGACTGACAGCTGTTCAAAAATTTGATGTTTTGGTGAGAGCATGAGTAGATTCTCCTACTCTAGACAGTATAAATTGGTACAACTTTTCTGATGATCTGGAAATGTGAATCAAGAATTTACATATATTTTTATATTTAAGTGAATTTTCCTGAGGATATGATGATAATGCAGAGACCTGTATACTAAAAGAATCATAGCAGCATCTTTTTTGGCAAAAGACTGTGAACCACCCAAATATATATACCTCTACTAAACTGGTGGAATCCTGTTCTTTCTAAACAGTAGAATGCATACTCTGCAGCCATTAAAAAGAATGAACTTGAATAGACAGACATAGGGAACTGTGATGGACATAGCAAACTCACTGGATAGATCTGGTCAGTTGCCAAGTGAAAAAAGTTACAGTTAAAATGCTGTGATAGCCTAGAATATAAAAAGTGTAAAAGAGTGTGTGTGTATATGCTTTTAAAGTTTTAGAAGGATATATATTTTTACATACATGCATATGTAAATACAGGTGCAAACACATGTATATATGCATGCAAACATACAAGTATGTATCTGTATATTTATGTGTATACACACAAGCATGTTATTTGGTGTCTGATACATTGTAAATATTTCTGAGTGAATCTGTGAGCTTAATATACGTGTTTCTCCATTTTGGGGGCAGAAGTTTCAATATATATCCATTAGGTCAAACTAATTTCTTGTTTTTCTCATATTTGAAACCTTACTTCATATCTGCTTTATAATGTAAGTATGGAGAGAGCTGTATTAAAATCATTTTTAAAATTTAAAAAATTTTTAGAAGTTTATACCAACTGTCAGTAAAAGTTACATAGGGACTTTGGCTTTCTACTTTAACTGTATATGCTCCAATCGTATTGCATTTTTTCAAGCAGTCTTTTTTAATAATGAAATATAGACTACTAAAAAATTATGTTACGGCTTTTAGGTTTTGCAGTGGTATGAGTAGAACATTAAAATACCAATACATCATTTGCCGTTCTTGTGATAAAGATAATTCATGAGAGAGAAACCAGAGGAAAATCTTGAAACCTTTGACCTAGGGCATAGTTTAAGAATGTAACTAGCAAATGGCATTTTAAATAATAAAAGGATTTTTATTGAACCCTTTGTTTAAGTCTTACTTCCTTCATTAAAAGCAGAAATGTTCATGTTGTGTCTGGGCATGAAATTAATGTTGTGGGTTGTCGCCAGTATTTTATAAAATTAAATAGATTCCAGACATTAATAAAGAGAAAAATTAAGTAGAAAATGGAGTGCATTGGAACTTTATAAGGATAAATACTTTTTTAAGATTATTGTGGTCTATATGGACACTAGGTCAATATGAATATTAGGGTCACTGTCAAAATACTTGAAAGCCATTATAATACAATTAGAATTAAATTCTGAATCTTCAGGGTACATGCTTGTTTTGAATGCTTTTTAAAAAATTACTGTAAGTTTTTTCTGCTTTTATACCCATAGCCCCTTCTCTTAAGTATCTTTTAAACTTGAACCTTTTATAGTTCCTTAACTTTAAACACGTTCTTTTTCATTATTTCTTTACCTTCTACCTCTCTGAGTTACTTTCCAGAAGAGGCAACTCTGGCAGCACATTTTCAAAGTAATATTTTAGTAGCTTATGGCAAAAGGTGTATGTACAGACTGATTACCAAATACCAGTAGTTTCTTCTCTGTAATAAGTACTGCAAATGAATATTTTACAAGTCTGTCTTAGCCTTTACTGAATCCTTGATGGCTGTATATTCTCAGAACTGGGCTTCAATTTACTCTTCTGCTTAAAGATTAGTAGTTTTCTTATTGCTTTCAGAATAAAATCCAGGAAGTTTTTATTGATCCTTGTTCTTTTTATAGCTCCAGTTTTATTTTATACACTACAACTGTACTCCATCCTACCTATCCCTTCCAAAGCTTGTTAGATGCCCCTCTTCTCTGCCCATACCATTTAATACTGTATTCTCATTGCCAATTTTTTGTATGTTTTTCTCACTAGATGGATTTGTCAGGGCAGATTATATCTGTCTTCCTTGCCATTAATCCCTAGCTCAGTATGGCTTAATAAGTATGGGATGAAAAACTGCTATTGAACAATACTAGTTCTAGTTCTAAACATTTATTGTATGCCTGTTATGTGCTGGTACTATACAGTCATTTTGTACTTGGTATCCTATAAAGTATACCTATTTTATAAAAGAAGAATCTTATAGTCAGGTTGTTACATGTCCAAGATCACTAAGAATTTAAACCATTATATACATTGTCCTCTTCCGCCTCAGATTCAGAGTAGAAATGTTTTACCTAATGAAGAAAATCATACTTTACATTTCATTCATTATTTCTCCCCTTTTTAAATATAGCTGGTGTGTTCTCAGCAGGCCTTGCTCCAGCTGCATTTGTGCCAAATCCATATATTATTAGCGCTGCTCCTCCAGGGACTGATCCGTACACTGCAGCAGGATTGGCTGCAGCAGCAACATTAGCAGGTAACCTATTGTTCACCTTGTCGCTTATTACGGATTTAGTTTTAATCTTGGTATATGCCTTATTTTGGTCTATTTGGGCAATTTGAAGTTCCTAGGAACAACTGAAACATTTACACAGAATGAGCTGAAGTTTCCAGAGAATTAGTTTATTTTTTAGTGTAATGCTACAGGAGAAATGTAAGTCTGATAACTTTTCTCCTATACATACAACAATTGGTTTACATTTTAGTTTTATAGTTTCAGAAATCTTACATTGCCAAACAAATCTTCATTCTTGTTGCCAATCCATTATCCACAGAGACAATGCAAAGTACAGTTATTTCTCAAAAAATAAACTGAGGTGCCCTGACTGGTGTGGCTCAGGTAGTTGGAGCATCGTCCCGTAAACCGAAAGGTCACGGGTTCGATTCCCAGTCAGGGCACATGCCTGGATTGCAGGTTTGGTCTCAGGTTAAGGCACCTATGGGAGGCATGTGATCGATGTTTCTCTCTTAAATCAATGTTTGTCTCCCTCTTCCTCCCTTCCCCTCTCTCTGAAATCAGTAAACATGTCTTCTGGTGAGGATTAAAAAAACAAAAACAAAAAACTGGGGTGTTATAAATATCCAGGTTAGGGAGAGTATAAGGTAAAACACTTCTACAATCTTGAGAGTGTGAATATGTAAAAGTAAAGTTTATTTAGCAGTGTTAAAATGTGCAAGTGAGCTGAGGGACAAAAGATGGGGTGGAGTTAGAAAGAACTTACTAAAAACTGTCAAACTGAAACCACCACTCAAAAACTGAAATACACACCAAAACCATACAGTGTGATGTGTCAATTGTATTGCAGTAAAGCTGGGAACATTTTTTTTCTAAACTGAAGCTGTATTTATCGGAAAGTTGTGTGCAGGTCAGGCACAGTCTTCCTAAGCATAGCAATTTGCTGATATTCTGTAGGGTTTTTGAGTGGAGGTGGTTTTGTTCTGAGTTAGTCGCAAAGACAGGAATGAGTTCGTGGTAGGCATGGTTTGTACTGGTTACCATGGCAGGAACAGGGTGATGTCAGCCACAGAAGTGTGTACACCGGAGTGAGTCTGCCAGTCAGGTGGCTTTCTTCATTCCAGGCTCTTGCTGAAATGGGTTGTCACAGACCAGTTAGACAATTTTAAGACTACTTCTGGTAGTTGGTTGTTATCATAACTATAGAATAATCTTTGTCTAGGAGTTTGGGGACTTTTTTTTAATACTCAGGAGTTCAAGAAGTGAAAAGTGTTAATTTTATATTCTTGTTTAATATCTTACTTTGCAGGCTGAAACTAATCTGTTACATTTGGTAGTTTTTGATACATATCTGCATGTGATTCCATAAGCATGTAAGCTTTTTTGGTGCCATTTAACTGGATGTTAGCATGTAAAGCGCTGGTATATCATTCATACAGGAAATTATTAACCTATTCAACTGAAAGAAGCAACTTTAAGAGGTCCTTAGTTTTGAGATGAGCATGCTAGTGATTCTGGACTTCAGCCTTCTAAGACCAGTGCTATCTAGCAGAAATACAATGTAAGCCAGATAATGTAATTAAAATTTTTCTTTTAGCCATGTTATAGAAATAAAAAAATTTCAATGATGTTTGGTTAAGCCCAACATCTAAAATATTATCATTTCAATGTATAATCCATATTTTAAAATTAGTAATGGATATTTTTACTTTTTTACTCAGCACATCTCAGTGCAGGCTATTTGACTTTATGAAGTAGCCACAAGCTATTAATAGTTATTAATGCCTTCTGGCTATCATATGTCTGACTCGTGTTTTGTTTGACATTGTAGCCTTCCTTCATAAATCCTGTTTACTCTTCTAACAGTCCTTATTGTAGATTGTGGTTAAACTATCTTTAGAAATATATTTTATTTTTAAACTTGTTAAAGCATTTTATTTCTGTGAATCACTGAATTTATACTGGGCTTTATTTTCTTCCAAAACAAAAATTAAATCAAGAATTTGACTTTTAAAAACCTACAAACTAGGTATATCAAATTCCATTATCAGTGGGATTTCAGGACATATTTGCTGTGTCAGTCAGGAATCATGACATCTTGTTGATTAGTTTAATGGTGGGCTTATTATACATGATGCTGGTTACTGTCCAGGAATCAAACATTGTCTTGAATTAAGCAAAATAGAGCAAGAACAATTCTCTTTTTCCTAGTTTGCTTTCTTATGTCTATGTGCCTCTGTGCTCATAATTAACTAGTTATTTCCTGTCTTGACTCACTAGTTCATTATGCTAACCACATAAACCCTGATGTTTCATCTGTTTTCATGTGATTTTCAGTTGCCTTGTGAGAATTGTTACTAAGTCTATTTCAAATATGAAAAATATTTTTAAATTCAATGTTTGCAATTCAGGTGTAGTTGTGGCAAGCTTGGTACCAGAATGTTCCCTGGTTTTATGTTATAGGTTGCAAATCAAAAGATAAGAGTGTTTAGTTTTTTTTGTAAATACTTCCAGTCATCAGGAACTATTTATTAAGTGAATTGAGTATGGAGAATCTTACTGTCCTGTGGTGTCTAATGTCTTCTGAATATATAATGTGTTTGCCAGGATCAAACCCATAAACTGGCATTCAGTAGGTGTTGGGTAGTTAACAGCCCTGTCAGTTCATTTTTCTCTTAAGTTTTGCTTCATATCTCCATGTTAAGGTCACTGCCTCGGTATTTACTCTCTTTCAATAATCAGTGCCTTAATGAGATTTTCTCCATAATAGAATAGGAAAAACAAATGGGCATGGCGGGTGTGAGTGGATAGACGATTTTAAGGACATCTGCTCTGAGTCTTATGCACTGTCCTTTTTTTTTTTTTTGCATGGGGTATGGGGTTTAGGTCCAGCAGTGGTTCCACCTCAGTATTATGGTGTTCCGTGGGGGGTGTATCCAGCCAATTTATTTCAGCAACAAGCTGCAGCTGCGGCAAACAACACAGCAAATCAGCAAGCTGCATCTCAAGCTCAGCCTGGACAGCAACAGGTATAGGCCTGCCTTCATTCAGTTAACACCTGAAGTGTCTTTGAAATTGTGTGAGATCCTTGTGGTCAAGACTTGTGTCATTTCTTTCCTTTTATTTTCTTTAGTATGTGATATATAGCATAAACAGGGTGGGCAAAAGTAGGTTTACTGTGACATTATGGCATTCTTTTAAGTTAATGAAGCTGTTGTAATAATCATAACCTGCACATCTTTTTCTAGTTACAAACAACTGTGAACCTACTTTTGCAGACTCCTATGTAGTTGGTGCACAAGTCTCGATGATATGATTGTTTTCTTTTTCTGTTTTGTATTAATGATGAATTTAACGATTAGGTTGTATTCCATTTCTACATTTCTTTTGAAGTCTGTTAGCAATTTTTAAATTTTCTTTTCAGTTGCTAATAATGTTCCTGTCAAAGGAATTGTCACTTCATTGTATTTTTTTGGTTTTGGGGGTTTTTTTTTTAGTTTTCTTCCGGATGTTTAAATTACTATTTTAAATATTAACAATATATTTCTGACCAGAAAAAAGATTATTACTGGGTACTTTATAGGTTACATTTAATTTCTTCAAACAAAATGTTTATCACAAATATTTTTAAAAAATTTTAACCACTTTCCTAGAGCTATTCCGGTAAATGTAAAAACTATTGATAAATACCAGATTTCTGGCTGTCAAATTCAGTATATTTATACCAAAGAAGCAAGTTAATGACAAGTATAGTGTTACTTAGTTAGCAGTTAAATTTTAGAATAAATTTTATTCTAAATTTCCTTTAATATACAGCGTCCAACACAAATAGTATCACACTCAAGCATACCATACAACATTTTATGTGACATGTTCCAATTAAAACTGTAAATTATTACACTGCATTACCGCCCCACCAACCGCACTCAGGCAGGCCTGCCTTCTGCTGGACCCTGCAGTTGAGTACTATAGTGATGTTCTGTTGGAGCTGTTTTGGCTCAGTCCTTGTAGATACAACATTTTTTAATAAATTATCTTTTAATCTATTAATTTTTTGTTGTCTTTAGACAAACGTAAAGATATCACACTACTTGAATAATACACCTATATGTCATGCTTACTTACAAACATCACATGTGATGGTCTTACAATGAATTCCTCTTACTCTGAATTACTTAAATATTTGTCTTTGTGAAATTAATGTATATTATACTTGTGTATAACCACTGCAACACTGATGTATAACGAAGTAGTTAAACTTGACCAGCCTTAAAAGTTTTCACCTTGTGGTGGTATAATCTTTTGTTCTTTTATTCACCCCAAGGTTTTACTCCTTAAAGCATCTTTCACCTTTATTAAAGCTTCTGAATTCTGAAAACTTGGTTCAATTTGAAGTTTTCACTCTACTTTAGTCTCATAACAGACTAACTGAATAATGATACGTTATTTCCTTAAGCTTCCTGTGTTTCCATTTTCAACCTTAATAATAAAACCTAAGTAAAATTTTTGTCTTCATCTAAGATTTTGCCATACACTCCTCCACCCCCATTAAAATCTTTCTTCTTCCACTTCTTCTTTTTTTTTTTTTTGTAAGTTAAAGAGCATAAATACTAGAAATGATTTTTTTGGAAACCCCAAAACTTTCATGTTGCTTAATAGATTGTTCTAGTTGTCAAGAGTCAGTGATTGTATTTTGATGTTATTTTGTATTATTTCATGCTAAATCAACATTTCATTGCATGTTAAATATGTTCAAAGACTATTCAAAGGCCATTAGTAATATATAATAGTTGTCGGAGATAAATTTGTTATTTTATAATTTTGTTTTTAAGGAAATCATTTGTCCTTTATAGGTTCTTCGTGCTGGAACAGGTCAGCGCCCTCTTACTCCCAGTCAGGGCCAACAAGGGCAACAAGCAGAATCACTTGCAGCAGCAAATCCAACTTTGGCTTTTGGTCAGGGTCTTGCTACTGGCATGCCAGGTATAGTTGATTAATTGTAGAGATTTGAATAGATTTAAAATATTAAATGTAGATTGTCACACAGCAGAGTGAAAAAGCTCAAGAAAAATCTTAAAGTCTTGCCTACCTTGCAGTAAAATTATTTAGAATTCGGATACCAAGAGTTGAACTTAATACTGTTTATGAGACTTAATGACAAGAGTGGAAAATATGTATTAAAATTTTCAGCACAGCCATTTTTTTTCTCTTTATGGAATAAACTATAGCATCTGCCCAACTGAACGTAGCCCAGAATTTTTAATGCAGTTCTTCAAAAAATAAAACCTACTGGTTAGAGTTGGCATGTAAGATAAAACATATGCCATTTCTACTTTATAAGAATGGCTAGTCAGTTAATATTAAGAAGTTTGTATTTAACATTTTCAGTCTTGTTTAGCACATTTATAGTATTTTAAACTATTGAGATTTATAACCTAATAGCAGCAATTTCTAATGAAAGCCTAATATAAAGAAAAATATTTAAATTTCTGCCCATTGCCACAACTTTAGAAAGGGCCAATAAAAATACAATTTTTTGTTAAAGAGATTTTTATAAAACTAGATACAAAATTACTGCTTGAATAATAATGGAAGGAGGAAGGTATTTTTGAGCCACTAAAGCAGTACTTGTCACGTTTTTAGTTTGGTTTGGAGGCCTGTGCTCAATCCACTGTCCAACACCAGCCAGGGCCATTTGTTATGTTTTTAAAGTGAGATTTAAAGACTACATTTGAATATCTGTAGGTAAATACATCACTTTCTATTTTACTCCTTTGTTCACTCCCCTCCTGAAGACTCATTTTGTTTTAGGTATCCTATTTTTTTTTTTTACTTTTAGTATATGAGTAGTACTCCTACAACTATAGATTACCTATTAATGAAAGGTGAGTTTCAGTCTCCATTTAATTGTAATGTAAATTTTGTATTCAGATCATTAAGGAAATGTGCTTAATGTATTGGGAAAAACCCCAACTCATATGATTGAGGGTTTCTTTTATGCCTTAAGTGCTGCTCAGTACCACTGTCTTGTTTTGAGGATTTCTATGATTGTTGCATTTATTCTGTTCTCTCTGAAATTCTAAGGTCTTCTTTATCCTCTTGTCCTGGCCACTGGACAAAGAGAAGATGTTAATACTGTTTTCCCCAAAGTACAAATGATAATAGAATGGGGGCTTTCTCTTTCTTCTCCTTTTTTAGCTGCATACACTTGTTTCACAGAAGCTACTGTTCTGGAACCATTGTGGATTAGATACCTTGGCAAAAGCAGCCCTTTGAGAAATAGACTGTGAAGCTGAAGGTGCAGGCACATGCAGGGACATGAAGACAGGGCTAAAAAGAACTGAGCTAAGAGTTTATGAAAGCCACTGCTAAGACTACCTGGGTTTCTCTTGGGGTTTTGCTGTAGGTAGAAAGGGGAGACAAGTTATGGTGTACAACAGTCCTGCTTAATTGATTCTAAGTAGGACCTTGATTGAAGAGAGTACTTCTAGCCTGTGTTATTTTCTGCTGCCTATAACTAAGCTTTTTAGGCTCATAGTGTTGGACCTATTACTCATTTCTTTTAAATACCTTTGTTCCATTTTTTCATATTTAGCACACTTTCCTGAATATATCTATAGGTACATATATGAAAATACATACACACACATATATACACACGTTTTTGTTTTGGGGTTTTTTTTTGTTTTTTAGAGAGAGTGGGTGGGAAGGAGAAAGGTGGAGAGACACATCAGTGTGTGGCTGCATCTCGCTTGCCCCCTACTGGGGACCTTGACCACAACCCTGTGCCATCTGACTGGGAATCAAACTGGCAACCCTTCCATTAGTAGGCTGGTGTACTCAATCCACTGAGCCACACCAACTAGGACCACATTATCTTATTTACTAAATACATCAAGGTTTTTTTTGCTATTTTATCAACTTTGATCTTCTCAAAAAAATTTTTTTAACTGATAACAAATACTACACTTGATCTTAGCTGAAAGGCCAAGGAGTGATCAAAAAATTTTTTTTATTTAGTTATTTTTCAAGTACAGTTTCCTGTCTGTTTTTCCCATCCCAGCCCACCCACCCCTTGCTCCCCACCTCCCTCCCATTCCCATCCCCCTTAGTTATTGTCCCTGTGGCCTTTATACTTGTTCCTCTAAAAAAATTTTTGTTTATATTTACTTCCTTTCATTCTATGAGAGAGCTCTTTATTGCTTTTTTGTTTTGTTCAACAGCGAACTCATGTTGGTAACCCTAAAAGAAACCCTAAACTACCTTTTATACTATATTTGTCTAGAAAGAATTGACTGCATCTTTAGAGTGATGATAAAATGAAAAACAGGTACAACTTTAGGGAAAAACATTATTTTATTTAACCTTCTGAGCCACAATATTTAGTCCCTTAACAGGTATAAATATAAAATTTATATTCATTAAAGGAGTCTTCTAGAGTTAGTGTTTGTGTGCCCAAGTGACTTGTTGACTGGTCACATGGTTCCCTCACTCTAAAACTTTTGTCTAGTATCTTTACTTCTACCCAGGACTATGATGAAATAATTCTCACTTTGTTATTCAAATTGTAATATAGCTATAAAGCTTAATAGCTAATAAAAGAGCTATTGAGAAAGTTAAAGGGTTTTTTTTTGTCTCCGTTAACTTTCGTACTTTTTATCCTTCTTTAGCCCTTACCTACTAGATCCCTGATCCTTGTATGATGTTGATTATAGATGTTTAATCGTTCTGCATGATCCTGCGTGCCGTCTGTTGTTCTTCCTTCGGTCTTTTTCCCCTCTGCCATCTCCTTCGCTACAACCACTGTGCTAATTCATCTGCCTCTTCATGCTAAAAAGCTTTCTCTCTCTCTGTTGCAGTACTCTCTTGGACTGTGGTACTTGTCAAAATTTACATTCTACCCCCCACTTCTTTTAAGCCTTGCCTCCATGATTCTTGTACACTCTATTAACTCAGTGACGATTGCAAAGTATGACCTCTCTTTTATCCTTGTTTTTTTCAATTCTTTGTTGTATTTTACCAAAATGACTGTGTCCAGCTCTCTGCAGCTCACCTCTGCTGTCACTTGTATGATATTTTACTCTCCTGCCTTTCCCGCTTGTCTCATTGCTTTTTATCAGTGATCTCCAGGTAAATATTAAAATTAATATGTTTCAGTAAGGTTTTCAGATATAAAAGATTGATTAAATCTTTTGTTAAACAACAACAACATGTTTGAAAATGAAAGATTTTAAAGATAGTTACTTACAGCAGCAGTAGCATATACCTAAGAATAAATAACAAAAAGTGTGCACAATTTCTATGGGGACCAGCTTTGTTTAGACATTAGGGGACACCTAAATAAACATACCATTGGACAACTCAGTATTTTGAACATGTCAGTTCTTTCCATATTAACTTGTGTTTTCAATACATTCCCAGTCAAAACTTCTAACAGCTAGTATTTTGACAGCTCATACTAAAATTTAATAAAAACACAAAGCATCAAAATAGCCAAAACACTCTTAAAGAAAAAATAAGTAGGACTTTCTCTGTTCTGATTTACTTTAGAATAAGATTTACTCTAAAACTGCAGTTAAATTATTACATAGAGACACAGACCAATGCAACAGAATAGAGCCCCCAAAAGAGAAATCTCAAAAGAAGTAGACAGATACCATTATAATTAATAACAAAGAAAACAGTACAGAGGTGGATGGGGTGGTGACTAGTTTTATCAATAAGATGAAACACAGCTAGTTGACTCAATGCAGAGGTTAGAGGCCTAACCACCTTCCCAGTCAAAAACTCATGTATAACTGAGGTGGTCCCTCCACACACTGATTCTCACCTACTTGTCGATTGGTTGGTTGGTTGGTTGGTTGGTTGGTTGGTAGGTAGGTAGGTAGGTAGGTAGGTAGGTAGGTAAAAAGAATGAAATTGAACCCCTGCTCTAACATGTGTTCAATAATCAGTTCCATTTGGATTTTAGACCCATGTGTCAAACATGAAAAGAGGACTCTTCAAGATATTAAAAGATAATATGGAAAATTCTGTTACAGGCAATAATAAATTTAACCCTATTATCTCAGAGGTCCCTATACAGGGGATTGAAGATAAGGCTAGAAATAGAACAAAATACTTTTGCATTACAGGCCAGGGTTGGGGGGGCTGGATGAAAGATGCTGAAGGAATGAACCAAAGAACATTTATGTATGACCCATTGACCAGACAGTGATAGGGGATTGATATAGGGAGGACAGAGGGTGGGACTGGGTGGAGGTGGGGAAGAGGAGAGAGAGTGGAAATGACTGTGATGGCATAAACAGTAAATTTAAGAAAAAAGGAACCGAAAGAGTTGGATGCCTCCTACTTAAAGAGTTATAAATTGGTCCTGACTGGTATGGCCCAGTGGATTGGGCACTGTCCTACAAACTGAAAGAGGTCTTAGGTTTAATTCCTCCAGGTCAGGGAGTGTGCCTGGGGTGTGGGAGAAGCAACCGATGGATGTTTCTATCCCTCTTGTTTCCATCCCTTCCCTTCTTTCTAGAAATGAATTAAAATTTTTTTTTAAGATTTATAAATTGTTAAGCAAAGTTAGCCCAATAGGACAATGGGTGAGTTGAATAGGCCTTTCTTGAGAAAATCAAAATGCTTAAGTAGCATATGAACAGATGCTCAGCCTCCTTATTAAAGGGATAGAAAATCAAAACCACAGTTCTGCGAGTGTTCCAGGTTGGCCGGGTTTTTTTTGTTTTGTTTTGTTTTGTTTTTTAAGATAAAAGCATAAGAGCTCTAAATCTTCATTGGAATTTTTTAAACATTTTAAAAACAAAAGCCCCCACATGTAGACAAGGAAGTAAATAAAGTTAGTTGGCATTACTCTGTACATCCAAGAATCAAAACAAATTCTGGGTTAGCATTCCGTAATCCAGTAAAATCTTTTGAGTCAGCAATGTTCAGGGTAACTGTATTTAATACTAGTAATGATGGAACCTTACCTTTGAACATTATAAAGTGGATCAGAGGTTGTAAACTCCTGAGCCGTGTGCCCCGTGTGCACTAGTTCTAAAATGTACGGATATTGTCCAGTGTTTGTCCAGAATGCCCATCATCCCAAATTAACCAGGCTGCACCTATGTCACCTCCTCCAGGGTTTTTCTATTACAGCATCATTTTTTCAAAATTAACCTAATTCTAAATTCTCTTTCTATAACCGGCCACTTTATTTTTTCTTATTTTTTATAACTTACATTAAATACCAAAGCAATTTTACCTTGAAAAATAAATACTGAGACATTAACACACATTTAGGCAGTGATTTCTGACAGTTGCGTTTATTTACCAAGAGAAAAAAGGGCTAACATTTATTTAACATTTAGCTAGAGTATTGTCATAGTAGTGTTACTTAATTGAGAATGATGGTTTCAATTTAGAGAGTTAAGTATTCATATTAATAGAGTTCGAATTAAACAGGAATTATAATTCACATGGAACAAATCTTATTTATTTCTTGGAAGAAAAACTAAAATATATCTCATTTTAGTACTACAAAATGTTATTAATTCAGTGCCTGGTTTTGTTAATATATTCAATTCACATTTAAGAGCAGAAAAGAAGAGACTTCAATTCTAATTTAAAATGTAATTTTTTTTTTCCAGTTAAAATAATTTAAAGATGTGTCCAGGAAAGCCCTGTCTGGGTAGCTGAGTTGGTTAGACTATCATCCTGATATACAAAGGTTCAGGATTGATCCGTCATCAGGGCACTTAAAGAGCAACCACTGAACGCGTAAATAAGTCGAACAGCAAATCGATGTTTTCGTCTCTCTGTGCTGTTTAAGGCAGGTGCCAGTCACGTTTTGAAAGATGATAAACTTACCAACTACAGTGTTCTCCCAAGTTGGGGGGAGCAAAGAAAAGGTCATAACAGTTTTTGTTTAAGACATGTTTAAATAGTACTCTTCATTTTGATCATCTAAAAATAATTTGGCAATTAAATCACTTATGGTCTTAATACATATCACTTACAAAAGGACAAGCTACAGATCCAGAATTAATGATTTACTTGTAATGTTTTTACAAGATTCTTTAGGTTGGTGCCTAGTGGTGTTGATAATAAGATTTTTGTATTAAGTGTGAAAGGATTTAGAACATAAACTACACTAGGCCATACAAAAATGTAATCAACTTTTTTTACACATCATCACTCCTAAATAGTTTTCATTAAAATCCAAGCTGATCTTCTTTGCATCATTTTTATTCTTTGGCAAGAGAGTCAAAATAGCCATGGGTTAGGAAACACCTGTTCACTCACGATTGTCTTTTTTTTTTTGCAAAATGTGTTTTGTAAAAGGAATTGGCAATATGCCTGTTTTATCATTATAACTAGATAATTATAATATGCAAAATATTAAGGTTTTTTGAGTAGTCCACTCCTAACTCTTTGAGTTGTTGTTAGTCATTTATCGGAGATTGTAGCCTTTGAAGTAGAGTCAGACAGTAAACTTCAGGCAGCTGGCTGAGCTTTGGCCATATTTCCAAAGATTTCAGTATCGGTTTCATCAAGAACTTGATTCACAGTATCTTGGCTTTCATCAGAGCTACCAAAGATGTCATCAGATATGCCATTGGTAATTTCTTCAGTCATGTCCATGCTCATGTTTTCCTTCTGGAAGTTCTGCATTGTTTGTAATGTCTTGAGGATTCATCTTGTCGACTGCCTGCATTGCCTTTACTGTGGTAGACATTGTGTCAGTCATCTTTGTCTGGGAGCTCATCATGTGTGTTTGTGTGGACATTCTAGTGACTTTTGAACCAGCAGTAGACGTTCTTGTTTTCTGCCCTGGCTGGTGTAGATCAGTGGATTGAGCACAGGCCTGTGAAGCAAAGGGTCACCAGTTTGATTCCCAGTCAGGGCACATGCCTGTATTGCGAGCCAGGTCCCCAGTACAGAGCATGTGAGAGGCAACTACATATTGATATTTCTCTCCTTCTCTTCCCCTTGCTCTAAAAATTAATAAAGCCTTTTTAAAAACTTGTTTTTTGTGTCCATAGTTGTATGAGCTGTTTGTCTAGAACTCTGCAAGCTTACTACCAATTTTAGCCAATTTTCTTAATTTCTGATTCCAGCTGTTTGTCTTGTTTTTCTAAGGCTGCCTCATCTCTGCTTACAGCCCTCTGTGTACCTCATTTGTAACTCTTGATTCTGTTCCTTTATTACATCATTCACAGTTTTCTTCTTGAAGAAGGACACATTGGTCAGGGATGTGCCCAGGTGGCCCAGTCCAGTGCATGAATAGGAAAGGACAGGCCCTTGGGGTGTTTGGGCTGGGGAAGTAAAATCGTGGAGCAGTGGGAACTCTTAATACCAAGGTAGTAAGAGTGTAAATTTGCACAACCACTTGGGAAGTAGCTTGGCATTATTTACCAAAGCTGAAAAATATATGCATGCTCTATGACTCAGGAGTCAACTATTATAGATACATGTGTTAGAGAAGTAAGTGCACATAACACTCCAGGATACATGTACAAAAATGTAGCAGTGCTGTTGACAGCGGGTAGCAGTGTAAACGTTGAATGAATAGATGCATTTTGGTGTCCATCCAGTGAAGTGCTTTATTATACAATAAAGGAAATGGAGACTAGGAAGATCTTTGTGTGTACAACCACTTGGATGAACCATACAAAAATGTTTATATAATGTAAACCAAGTGATAATTATGGATAGTGAAATAGTGTGTTGCTGTGCGTGAAAGAGAAGATTGTGGTAGAGCCTGGAACATTGGAATGGTGGGTTACTGAGCAATTTCTGTCTCCTGACTTGGATAGTGATTACACATTTTGTGCTACAGTCAATACTGAACTTTTTGACTTACATTTCGTAATAACAAATTTCTAAACAAAAAAGTATTGTGTTCTGCTAATGAAGTACATTTTCTGCTTAAGAAAACAATTACCCTCAATACCGCCTTTTTTCTAGCTCCCCTCTGTTCCTTTTTACAGCAAAACTCCTCAAAAGCATTTTCTGTACTTGTTTGTGGTTCTTCCATACCCTTCTTTGCTAAACTTGACAGTTTGGCTTCTGTCTCTTACCAAAATGACTTCAGGTTGCTAACTCCATTGCTCAGTTTTCAGCTCTTAATGGCTTTTAGCAGCATTTGACATTATTGATCACTGTCTTCCTTGAAAATTTTTTTTATTTGACCACACTGGTTTTTGTTGTTTTTTTTTCCTTATTGGCTGTTCGTTCCAAGTCTCTTCTCTGGTTCCTCCTATCTCCAACCTCTTAATGCAAAGTGCCCTCGATACATAGACTCCTTTTTAATTTTTTTTTTGGTGCTTTCATCCTGTCTTACAGCTTTAAATATTACCTTTATGTTGACACATCCAGATTCATAACTCCAGCCTAGACCTCTCTCCTACACTTGAGAGTTGTATTTCCCATTTGATCTCTCTATTCGGCTGTCTAATAATCTCAAATTCATCACTCCATAAGGAGTTCCTTCCTTGAGGAAAGGCCTTGGATGCTCTGCATTCCCTCCTAGATTTTGCCCTATGCACCTCTTCATTTGGCTGGTCCTCCTAATTTATATTGATTATAATGATTATAACTGTAATTGTAAAACAGTCAATTACTGTATTTAATTACAAACAACGTTTGCATATGAAAGTCTTAGTGGTTTTAGTTTTAAACTTGAAAGTATCAGAGGTTGGCAGTACCTTTTCTTAAGTGGTTGTCAGTCTGTTGAGCCTGAGTTCTTGTTACTATATAGGCAGCCTTTCTCTGAGTTCTGGGAGAGAACTAAGCCCTGTTGACTTGAATATTCCACTATATGTAGTTAACTTCTCTCCTGTGCATCTACAATGGTACTGGTTATGTATCATCCTTGGGAAAATTGGCAAAATAGTCATTTTCTGTTCTGTGGTTCAAATGAGGAATCAATCCCCACTGAGAAACGCTGCTAAGAGGTAAACACCACTCTCCTCTAGCTCAGAATAATGCACATTATCACCTGCCTTGTGTTCAGGATTATGAAAAAATTAATGCCCAACCTGGCCGGTATGGCTCAGTGGATCGCATGCCAGCTTGCAGACTGAAGGGTTTCTGTGTGATGCCCAGTCGGCACATGTCTGGGTTGCAGGCTAGGTCACTGGTTGGGAGCCTGTGAAAAGCAACTGATCACATTTCTCTCCCTCTTTTTCCTCCCTTCTTCTCTCTCTCATAAATAAATCTTTAAAAAAATACCAAAAATACTAATGCTTGCATGGTTTTTATTTAAATTCTAACTTGAGAACCTTTACAAATAGATTGTTACATTATCATTTTAAGGTATCTGTTTATGTCATGATTTAAGCTTTTAAAGGGTTGCTTACAAAGGAAAATCTAATAGGAATACAAAGGAATCCTGGGAATGAGGCACTTGGTTTAGAACCTCACTAAAACTGTGTCATAAACATTTCTTTACGTAGTGTTCTGCCTCGTTTCCCTTGTCTTTACTCATCTCCTTTCAAAATGGACTGAATAGGGATATTTTATCAGCCCTAAATAGCCTGTAATTACTGTGTCAAGGAACATACCTTATCATTTTGCAGTCCATGTGTGAAAGGCATCCTTGATAAAATTTATCTGTACTCTAATGTTCTTATATATTTAGTGATATCTTCTCAAATGTGTTTGCTTTTCATATGGTAACTAAGGGTTTTATATTAATAGTATACGATGCTGTGTTTTCTGGTTGGTAAAAACACAAATGCAGGGATAAATAAACATGCATGTTTTCTACAATAAGTATTTCCATTAGTAAACATTTATTTTTATATTATCTAGGCTATCAAGTACTAGCTCCAACTGCCTATTATGATCAGACTGGTGCCTTAGTGGTTGGCCCTGGAGCAAGAACTGGCCTTGGAGCTCCAGTTAGATTAATGGCTCCAACACCCGTTTTAATTAGTTCAGCAGCAGCACAAGCTGGTAAGTGTAACTGTTGTTTTCAGGGATATTATTTTTCTGGTGCTGTTTGAGATATTTTAAAAAGTCATTTTTCTGGGTAGTTTTAAGATGCATCTGAAATTTGTTTTGCAGCGGCGGCGGCAGCAGCTGGAGGGACTGCAAATAGTCTTTCGGGCAGCACAAATGGTCTGTTTCGGCCAATTGGCACTCAGCCACCGCAGCAGCAGCAGCAGCAGCAGCAGCAGCAGCAGCAGCAGCCAAGCACTAATCTACAGTCTAATTCATTTTATGGGAGCACTTCTTTGACTAATAGCTCCCAGAGCAGTTCTTTATTTTCTCATGGACCTGGCCAACCTGGAAGTACATCTCTTGGCTTTGGAAGCAGTAGCTCTTTAGGTGCTGCTATAGGCTCAGCCCTCAGTGGATTTGGTTCATCAGGTAAGTTTCTTTTCAAGATGAGTGTACTCTTAAGTGGATGTGAGGTATATGTACATTTTTAATATTAAAGTAAGCAATAAATAGTTCATAGTATAGAAAGGACAGGATTAAAATGCTGGTTTATTGGGTTTTATAGAAGAAAAACTACTTCCTGCAAACATCTATTAATGTTTAACTCATTTCAAGCAGCCCATCCTTTTCTCAAGTGTAATACATTTTTCCCCTAACTATAAGAATTATATTATTGTCATTGCTTTAATAAGGTTTGTTTGGAGCAATATATTTTATACTAGTTACTAGCTCTTCCTTATCTATACATAATGTTTGAGGAAGTAAATACTTCTACCAACTTTAATTTCTGGTGTTTTAAAATAACTGTCTGTGTGTGCTTACCAGATGATTTATTCCCATGAGATGTCTCACTTCAAAATGTTCTAAACAGAAACTCCTAAGAAACTACCAGTATGCTTATCTTTTTTAGATTAAATAATTCAGCCTTTATCATTAACAATTTATTTTAAAACTATGCTTTTCCCATGTCCTACTTTTATATATAATACTCGACAAATCCAAATGTTAAATAGCTTCATAAAATAAATAGTTCACCCCCACAAACTGATGTTGTCACTAAGGAAGAGCTACATGAAATGAGAAGATAGATGCCTGCTGTCATGCTCTCAGGTCTCCAGCACGTCCGGGGAGCAGCAGGGGCAGGGGCTCGGGCTCGGGCTCCTTCTGTGGTGCAGCTGGCAGTTTTTTCTTCATGAGGGGAAGGGCTACATATTTGGACCCCCAGAGATTTTCTGTTCCTCTCACATTCTACCCTAGGAATGCTTCTCACCTATTTTTCCACCACATTAAATAATAGTCTTTCCTGGTGTGTGGAAAATGGCAAAACTAACACATGTCAGTCATTATTAATATGCTTACCAGTTTTCTAAGGAAGTGTATTCTAAATTTTTGATGTAAGAGAAATGGTCTTGAACAGCTATAATCTTTCAGATACAAAATGCTTTTTTTTTGTTACAGTGAAATTCAATAGGAAATTAGCATACTTGCCTAACAAAACTACCTAAAGAGTGAGCACAACAATTTCTTGTATAAATCAAGTGAACATGAAGACCATTCACTATTTGAATTTTTCTACGTTTTTTCCCCATTCCTTTTGGAGTTTAGTATTTTTATCTCTAGTTCAAGCACTCTCATAAGAGGGGTTTTTCTTGTTTTTTCTTTTTGTTTTTCTTTTTGTTTTTTTGCTTCTAACACAATTGACAAGCATTGTCCCCAAATAATCGTAAATATGCTGAAGAAACATCTTTGACTAAAAAAAAAAACAAAAAAACACTTTGTAGCAATAACTAGTTCCTAAACTGTAGATTATAGACTCTAAGTAATCCAGGGGAAATAGAGAAGAGCTTTGATAAACCTCATGTACCCTTTTCTAATAAAACATGTTTTTGATGGTCTGGTATATGCATTTGTAGGTCCCCTTACCCAATTCTTCCAAATTTTCATTTGTCTCTTAGTTTTGAAGAGCTTTTCTCCTGCATTCAGAAATTGGTTGGCATGAACATTCTTTTCCCTACAAATGTCCCCTATAGGTGCCTCTTTCCCAAAAACTTACCTTTGTCATGCTTCTTGTATAAGCATTGCTTATTCAATTCTGATTTTTCAGTCTGGGGTGCCTCTGTTTCATCTTGCTTCAGAGGGTATTAGTGATTGCCACCCCAAATGCCAGTAAATGATCTTATTACTCCTCCCTCCTCTTGGGCATTTTGTGAGAATTCATTCAAGTGCCGTAATGTCTACTCTTAGAACAAACCTACCATTGCCGTTTCACATTATGGCAGTTCCCTGCCTATATGAAAACTAAAGTACATTGCGGTTACATGCATATTTACACACACAGTAATGTGTACACAATCGTTCTCTTCCCTGTGTGATACAATTATTAATGCTTAACAGTGCTAAATACCCTCATTTATAAGAATAGTTGGCTAGGAAGCTTAATTATTGCAATACAGTGATTAAATCATCCTTTTCATACCGACTATTTAGAAAGTGCTATTAAATTCAAAGTTTGTAATTTAACATTTTATACACAATTGATAAATGACCAGTGACTCCAGTGTCTGTCTAGCTTAAGATATTTTAGATAGTCTTTGTTTTATATTTCATAGTCATACCATTGCAGATTATGTAGACGTATAGTAAAATTCATGGAGCCTGTTTGTTTATGTTTAAAGCTATTTCTGAATTACTTTTAAATGTTTGGTTTGACTTTTCCTGTTTGGAGTAAAATAATAATCACATGTGTGAAAGCCATGGTTCATTTGGTTATTTATCAGGGGAATGATAGTACTATTGCTCTCATTAGAGAGCTGTTTTCTTTGTCAGTTAAATTGTTTCTGAGATAAATAGGACTTTAAAATGTAGCCATGTCTTAACAAAAATCACTTTGACAGTGTCCTTTTAAATTAGCATAGTTAATGTAGTATACATTGACAGTTTTGCCAAAACCAATTCATAAAGAACTATTTACTACATTAGTTGTTATGCTTGTTTTTTTGCTATTAAAATGCATATAGTTTGCTAGTATATCCCTATTATAATGCTACCTTAAGATGTGAAATTTTCAATAAAACACATTGTCAGTCTTTCAGAAACTACACTGGCAGATATAAAACGTTGAATACTGTTTTAATATTTTGCCTAATACAGCAGTGGGAGCCTGGTGTTTTTCCTTTGTAGAATTTTGAATTTGGCAAGAACCAGTGTAATTTAATTTCTTACCTGTATTGTAAGTCTAACTTGGTCTTCCCATCATGTGCTCTGCTTAATTTTTCTCTTTAATCTATACCCTTATGACCTACTTACAGTTGACTTGAGGTTAGAAAACCAAGTTTGAACAGAAACTTTAAAATTCTCTTGAAACAAATTACCATATTGGTCCGAATATAGAGTGTATCGTTAAAAAAACTTGACAGGTTAAAAAAAGTAGTATGAATTTCCCTTAGATTAAAAAGGCATTTGGTTTTAAAAGGATGTGCTTAGAAATAAGAAAGCATACTTGAAAGTGTAAATAGTAAGTGAGACAAGAATTGGGTGTTCTGGACAGCCCCTTCAAACACTTGGTAAAGAATTTGATTATCTAGATGTGTATGGTAACAGCAAAGTTGTGGATTGTTTCTGAGCATTGCATGCATAGCTGCATGGGAATGTGATGCTCTTTGCTTATGATTTTGCAGAGGAAAAAAGGATTAGAAGGCTAATAGTCAAATTCAGAATTAGGTAAGAAGAATTCATTTGTAAGACAATAAGGGATGTAATATAAAATAATTACCATATTTTGCTATGTATAATGCATACTTTTTTGCTCAAGTTTTTAGGGAAAAATAAGGATACACATTATACATGAGTGCTGCTAATCCCATATCTGTATAAATGTGTTTAATTCTTGTATTTTTGCTTATGCATTAAAAGTATAACTCTAGAAAGCATTAATGATATCTGTATGCAGACTAATACCCTGGAATACAATAATCGGTTTGTTTCTAAATATAAATAAATAAGTAATTGAAATAAAACAAAAGATGTTTTTCCCCCTGAAAGTGCAGCCAAAAATCTGGGTTCACTTCACACACAGGCGTGCAGTACGTGCATCACGTGCATCACTGTGTGTGCTGTCTGTGGGGACAGAGCTGTCGGTCCTCACCTGAGGGAGGGGCTGACCAGGCCGGTAGTGAGATTTTAGGAATGGAAGGTTTTCAGGGGTAAGTGGAAGTGTATTTTTGGTATGCTAACAGTAATGAGTATTTTCTAAAAGAAAGTTTAGCTTTTTCATATGTATTTTGTAATTCAGTTTTTTGAAGGATAAAGGAGAATGCATAGTGTAAAAAGTACTAGGAATAAGCTGCCACCTATATTTCACAGCTGACTAATATTCGGGCCAATATGGACTTAAAGTACTACGGTTTGAACACAGCACAGAAGCCAAATTAAATGTGAATGGTGAGGGAAATATATTAATATTCTATTTGTGAAAATAATCTTTTCTTGGCATTGAGTTGAAGTCTAAGAACTGGCTCCAGAGGTTAGAACCCTACCAAAATGTAACCTTAACAAGATTCACTCTCTAGCGTATCATAAAGCAGACAACTTAAAATTCCAGGGTCTAGAAATCATACCAGGGTATTAAAGCACAGTAATCATGTGTCAGTGGTAAATATGTGTGAAATAGTGAACATAATGACTGCTATGTTAAGTATTTGGTTACTTTATTGGGGTGCATTTATACCCTTTTATGATTAACAAATTAGAATATATAGTTATCACAGTAATTATCTTCTCCATAATGTTTCTAAAAATAATTATTGTGATCACCTCTGTTATTTCCCAGCAAGCGTTGGGGACAGGTTTTATTCAGTTAACACTGTATGTAATTAGGGTTTTTTTTATTTCTTCTTCAGTTGGCAGTTCTGCAAGTAGTAGTGCCACAAGGAGAGAGTCTCTATCTACTAGCTCTGACTTGTACAAAAGATCTAGTAGCAGCCTAGCACCCATAGGGCAGCCATTTTACAGTAGTCTGGGATTTTCCTCCTCTCCAAGTCCAATAGGCATGCCTCTGCCAAGCCAAACTCCAGGACATTCACTTACGCCACCGCCATCACTTTCATCACATGGATCCTCATCCAGTTTGCATTTAGGTAAAAAAAAAACCAAACCCCTTTTTATTTGTATGTATACATGTAAGTGTGTTTGTGTGTGTGTTTATAATATATGTGAAATATTTAATGTTGGATAAAACATGCCAAATTGCTTTTGCTTTTAGATACTAGCCTCTTGAAAAAGTTCTTTTGTCATGAAAATCTGAAGTGAGGGTCTAATGTACAGTAAGGTAAAGACCCCTATTGTATCTTGTTTCATTTATGAAATACAGTGGTGTTTTTTCTTGTCTGTGCTTTTGATTTGTGTGTGTTTTAGATCATCTGAAAAGTCAACTATTTATACATGATAGTGAAAGAATTTTCACTATCAAAAGATTTGCACACCAAAATAAAAAACATTAGTTACATAATTCTCACTTTAAATAGTTTATTTAGTAAAATGTTTTTTACTTTGGCCTTTGAATGCCTGGCCATTTTACCAAAGGATTATATCAGGGTTTAAGAAATTAGAATGTTTGTGAGGTAAAGAATCTTAAGGGTGTGGTCCATATATTTCTTTTTCTTTTAAATATGTTGTTAGCTTAAGCAAAAAAAATGGTTTAGGCTTGTTGTATCCTTGATGTTGGAGCATTTAAAACTTTTGTTTATGTCTATGTATTAAAATTGCCCCTACCCTAAGATTACTGAATTAGTGGTTTACATCTTTCCCTCTCTGGGAAGTATTTATTCATGGAGTTAACAGTATATTTTGAAGGGTTTTTGGATATCAGGGGCTTTGTATGAATCCTTGTCTTCTCTAAAAATTATTTCATTAATTGTGGATTTTTGTAATCCTAGTTACCTCAACTGAAAGTGGGAAATTCTACTGCTGATTTTTAAGGTCTTGGAAAGATTTAAATCAGCTTCTGATTTAAAAAGTTGTGTTATTATCATTGTAAGCAGATATGTTTGGACCCCCCCCACATACACATACACACACGTGTACACACACACACACACACACACACACACGTGTATATAGCTGGTTTTTCCTGAAGCTCATTAACACAGTAAGTGTCCCTGTAACAAAAGTATCTTTTGTAGTAATCATCATTTAGAATTGTGTCATTGCAAAGTGGGCCAGATTCCTTTTTTAAACACTGGTCCTTTACCCCAAATTCTGGGTTTTTGCTCTTTTGGAGATAGTGAAAATAAATAAATACACACACACACAAACTGTGGATTTACTCAGGTGGTATCTTCTGATCTGCTTTGTAGCACTGTCTGTATAAATGTACAGCTCTTAGTCTGACCCCTTCTTTTATTTATCATAGTCACAGGGGCCACTCAGTTCCTGATTTATTACTTATTTATGTTCAGACCTACTTCCACAACCTTTATATAAGACATGACTTTGAAAGTTTGAAGTATACACACAAATTTGGAACGTTAAAATCCTAAGTATAGGATCCTAAGTATAGACCTTTCATAATAATTTTGTTTTATCCATGAAGATTATATTTGTCTTGTCCTGTCATTTTTTTCATAGGTAAGTTTCAGGTCAGATTCCTGTTGACTTGTTACTGCATATGTTGTGCTTTAGAGCCTGTATAAACAACATTGATTGTTCTACATAGACCGCAGACTTAGTAGACTGCTTAGAAATTGGGTTATAAATGATTTTTAGATGTCTCTTTGATTAAACATCGGTCTAGATTTTTGTCTTTAGACTGGTAAAGAATCTAGCCACTGTAGATGCCTAAGAAAGAAATTCTCGTCAGTTATGAGAAACTGTCCTAAGTTGGGCCAGCAATTCTGCATTATTCTGATACGTGGTACCCATGGTTCAGCTCCTTAGTTTAGCTTCAGCTGGAAATCTTGATACTTTGATGCACTTCTGATTAAAATTATCTATAGATTATTTTCTTTTATAATCTCCAATTATTTTTTTAGTTGCAGTATGGCAGGTGATATTGTTAAGGAATAAACTCTGCCAGATTGAACATAACTTAATAAATTTCATAAATTTGCTGTTGATGGAAATAATTATTTGCTTTCCTGTGATTAAATCATGATGTAAAACTTACATGCTCTCTGATCTAAAACATACTTCAAATTGTGTGTCCTTGAGGCAGATTTCTTTATGAATCAAGTTATCAAGGCCAATGATTTATAAAATACCTATGGAAATGAATTTGTATATTCAAGTAATTTTACTGAGTTCACACATTAAGAGTATATCATGAGATGAACATAAGTTCTCAGTGTCATTAGAATTGGTTGGAATTAGTTCCAAGTTATTTTCTTGTGAGATTTTTAAGATATATAATTATTATAGTTAACAATAGGCATTGATGTCTACATTCATAAAGTGTTAGATTAAAACATGTTAGTTAACTTTTTTTTTTTAATCAGGTCCCCTTTGTGCTAGTTATTTAATTCACAGAAAAACCTAATGGCAACATTAGGTGCTTTTTTTGGCTTTCCAAAACAGATATTTCACGTTAAAAATAATTATTATTTAACATCGGAATTTTTAGTAGTATGACTAGTAACCACTTTTCAATTAAAGTACAAGTATTTCATTTGATAAGTGTGTGTTTTTTTTTTAAATCCTCGCCCGAGGATATGTTTATTGACTTAGAGAGAGGAAGGGAGAGGGAGAAAAACATCTGTCGGTTGCCTCCTGTGGGCATCCCGACCAGGGATGGGACCTGCAGCCTTCGGGTGCACGGGACAGCGCTCCGACCACCTGGACCACCCGGTCTGGGCGGGATAGGTTTCTTTTTTTTTTTTAAGATTTTATTTATTTATCCTTAGAGAGGAAGGGAAGGAGAAAAGGAGAGAAATATCAATGTGTGGTTGTCTCTCATGAGTCCCCTGCTGGGAACTGGCCTGTAACCCAGGCATGTGCCCTGACTGGGAATCGAACTATGATCGTGTGGTTCACAGGCCCGCACTCAATCCACTGAACTATACCAGCCAGGGCAGATTTTGATTGTTCATTTTTAGTAAACTAAAACTTGTTAGGATTTTCAATCTTGTTACTCTTTTTAGTATATTGAAATCAGGAACATGAAAAAATTTTATTCCATTTTCTGGTATAAAATTTCTAAGAGACTCCTTTCTGATAAACAGCATTATTATTCATACCTTTTAAAAGATTTTTACTTATTTTTAGAGAGGGGGGATAGGAAGGAAAAAGAGAGGCAGAGAAACATCCATGTGAGAGATTTATCAATGGTTGCCACCCACACACGCCCCAAACAGGGCCCCAAACCAGCAGCGACCTTTCAGTCCACAGGCCGGAACTTAATCCACTGAACCACACCAACCAGGGCTATTCAGACCCCTTTAAATTAATAATTTCTCATTACTCACATTTATTAAATGTCATTATTACTTAAATGTCTTTTTTCAGTTGTATCGTTTGAATCAGTCCAGATGAGGTTTACACATTGCATTAGTTTGACGTGTCTTTCAATAGGGAACCATTGCATTTCGCCTTTGTTGTTGTTTTTTTCCTTTCCACGTATTTGTTGATGAAACTTTGTTTTGTTGACTTTCCCATATTTTGACTTTGCTTGTTGCTTCTTCATGGTAGTGTTTAATATGTTTCTCTATATTAACATATTTCTCTATATTTTCTATGAAATGGAATTAAAGCTAGAGGCTTTATCTGATTGTTTGCTTGGTTTGTTACTTTGGGCAAGAGGTGGTCCTGTGTTCTTGCTGTAGTGCTGTATCAGGGGACACGCATTTGGCATCTCGGTTGCGAGGTTGTCAGTCTAATCATTGCCTAAGTATTTCTCAGCAGTTATAAAATGGTGATATTCTTAATTCTGTCATTCCTTCTGCGTTTGTTAGGTGGAACTTTTCTATAAAAGGAACTTTTCCTCATCAATTGTGGGATTACCTTGAAATACAAAGTTCACATATGAATTGGGATAATGCTGATTTTTTTTTTCTAACTTTGAGAATGAGTTGGTGTCCTAGCAGCTCCTAACGGTGACTCGTGTTTTTCTATAAGCATCGTTGTACCTGTAAATTGATGGGTGTTACAACGGTTGATACACTTCAGTTCACTGCAGTCTGAGACATCGGTTTTACACCTCTTTTTAATACTGAAATTTTACCATTTTTGGCCATTTGGAGCTCCTTCAGAGTGGCTCTCCTTTCGACTTCAGCTCTTTAAAAGCAGCATTTAAATTACTGGAAGGTCAAAGAAACAAGTGTAGAAATAACAAAGAAAGAGAACTTTAAGGTTAATGATTTTTATCTTGAAATACAAGAGCAGTATCAAATTCTGGGTGTCAGGTTCAGTGTTAACTAGTGAGTGAATTTTCTCGTGTTGTTTTGATGTGTAGAGATGGGGGGGCATCTTCTACCTGCGGTTGTTTCTTCGTCATTCTCTCCAATAGAAGTCAGTATCTTATTATTTTAACATACTTCACTCCCTGTGATAAAACATTAAATATTTCCAATTAGTGATTTCTTATTTACTATGATCTTTGTGCTCGTAGTAATTAGATTGATATAGAACTTTGGGGGTATAAAGCAGTATTCTGTATTTTTATCTAATTTAGGGCATGACAAACTAACAGATTTTTCCCTTGTACCTTTAAAATTTTTGAACTGGCTTATTTATTTCTTAAGGGCACTAAAAAGTGTAACTCTCAAGCTTTGTATTTAGTGAAATTTATTATTGAAAGATGGCTGTCATTTCTGAAGATTCATTAACATCTTGTGTTTAGTAATCAAGTGGTACTTTAGCTTGATGCGGATTAGAAAATTGTATAACCTATTTTCTCTCTTAATGACAACAAATTTTATATTAAATATAGGCAGGATTAACTTTCAGGATTATTATTTTCTGTTAAGTAATAGTTACATGTGTTAAAATTGCTGACCTTTGGCAGATAGAGCCAGCTGCTTCTCTAGAACAAAATGTTTAAGAATTAAAATAAAAATAAAAAAGAATGGATGAAAACAAATATGGTTGAATTGGTTGCAAGGCTGTGTCCAGTTTTTCTGAATTTTATATATGGTCCTTAAAGCAG